TGGACAGCAAAACGAAAAAAAAGAAGAAACAAAAAAAAAATCCATTTGAAATACTTGCCATTACATCATTTTGATCATCATCATCATTATCATTATCGAATGTTGAACAACAACAACAACAACAACAATCAGAATTACATTTTCAATGAAATAAAAAGAGATAGATAGATAGACAGAATATAACAAATCACGGAAAACATAACGTTGTTTGCTGTATGTAGCAAACAGATGTTGTTTCCGCCATTTTGTCTCTTTCTCTCTATCTCCGTATGTGTGTGTGTGTGTGTGTGTGTGTGTGGGTGATCACCATCAAGTATTGTGTAAAATTTACCGAGCAGCAACAAAAAAAAATATGTTACCCGTTCATTAGCGACACACACACACACACATACAAACACTGAGAGAAACAGAGTCATCAGAGTGTTCATCATCATATCACACTACCTATTTTTTTTGTTCATTTTTCTTTCTTTCTTTCAAAAAAAAAAAAAATTCTCATCTGATCATCAACATTTTTTTTTGTTGTTGTTCACGGCGAAAATCCATTTTATTTTATTTATTTTTTTTAGCTCTGAACAAGAAAAAAACATATGTGGCCTAAACAAAAACAAAAAAAAAAGTTGAAAAGAGATAAAAAAAATACACATACATGGATAGAATTTAGGTAAAATTCCTGGACCATTTTCATTTTTCTCCATCCATGATGATGATGATGATGATGATCCATCAATGCATCCATCCAACCATCCAGTGTTTTTGTTTGGCTTTGAAAAAAACATGACATGATCGCTTTTTGTGTTTTTTTTTAATGTAAAATTTATGACGACTTTTCTCCATCTCCTCTGCCTCTTGTGAGAATATTTTTTCAGTTTATGGTGGTTCTACACACAACTTGATTCATAATTCATTCCTTTTTTTCTGTTTTTTTTTTGTTGTTGCTGAAACAAATAAACAGCTAGCACAATTATTACCATTGGATGAAAGTTTTCTTCTTTTGTTCCGTTTTGATAATCCATTGGAATCATCGGTTGAATTTATGAAGGTTAGTGGAAAAAAACAAAACAAAAAATCACCACCAGCCGATTGATTTATGATTGATTTAGATTTGGCGTGAATATGATACCGATGGCAGTGGATTTATCGAAGCAGATGAACTAAAAGCAAGTTATATTTATTGATTGGATGATAATTTGATAATTTAATGTTTTTCTTCCCCTTCTCTCCCCATAAACCATTCAAGAATTTTTTAAAAGATCTTTTACGTGAAGCAAAACGTGAACAAATCGATGAAGATAAATTGATTGAATATACGGATACATTATTACAGATATTTGATGCAAATAAAGATGGTAAATTACAGCTAAGTGAAATGGCAAAGTAAGTGTTGTGTGGTAGTTTGTCAAATTTTTTTATTTTTGTTTGTCACACGCGTGTGGGTGTGTGTTCTTTGGCAAGTTTGAAAACAAAAACAAAGATAAAAATAGGTAGTAGTAGCAGATAGTAGTAGTAGGTAGTCGTCGTGAAACATAATTACAAATCTTTTAGTTCATTTTTTTTTGGCCATTTCAATCTAAATGGCTGCTACTCTATTTACCGTTTTTTTTATTATTTTGTAATTTGTATTAATGTGTTTTTGGTTGTTTGTTTGTTTCAAACACAAACACACACTCAAGAATCTTGCAAAACGGTAATTGTCTTTTTTGTGTGTTTTTTCTTCTTTCATCATTTGTTCGTTCGTTTTTTGTTATCATCTAAATAGCCAATTTATTCGTTGTAATAATTAAATGCAATCAGTCTTTTTTGTATTTCGTTGTTGTTTTTTTGTTTTTATTTTTCTTTGCTTTGTTTTGTTTGCTTGTTTTGTTGAATTTACCTTTTTTTCCCATAATTCTTGTGTGTGTGTGATTCACTCTTTTTGTTTTACGGGTTTTTCCACCTCCACAGTGCATGCATGTATGTAGGAATTACGACAGTGAAGCCAACATTTTTTTTGTCTGTTTAAAATTTTAAAATTTTGCCATTTTTTTTATCGTGAATTTTGTCACCGGAAAAAAAATTTGAAACGAGAATTTAAAGAGAGAATTCTTGATAATAATTCAATTTTTCTCCCACATGCACACACACACACACACAAAAACAGATTATTGCCAGTTAAAGAAAATTTTCTTTGCCGTTCATCATTCAAAGGAGCCACCAAATTGACTAAAGACGATATTGAACGTGTTTTTGCACTCTACGATCGGGTATGTGTAAATAGATTTTTTTGTTCCCTCCATCAATTTATTCTGTGCATGATCCGATTATTATTATTATTATTAATAATATAAAAAAATTGAATTTGAAAAGACATATTTTGCAATTCAATGACATGGTAATGACAGTCCATAGGGATAATCATACCGACAATAGAAATGATGATGATGATGATGATGATGATGATGATGATGATGATAAACGATGGTCCATTGTTTTGTTTTTCATTTCACTAACTCATCGGTTGGGGTCGTTGAATCCAGTCCATATTTAGGATCCAGAATCTGGAAAAAAAATGAGCGAGAGATAAACGAGTGAGATTTTTTTTTTGCCCGATGGAAACGTCAAAGCCGGGATATTTATTGTTTTGTGGAAAATAAAAATTGTCGAGTACAGAATTTTTTTTTCTTTCTTCTTTCGATTCACGATATTCTTTAGTTTGTTCATGTCATTGAAAATGAAAATGAAAATCCCAAAATTTTACGTTGTTTCAATCACCACCATCATCATTTATTATTATCACGATTTTCGAATGTTTACTTTTTAGATATATGAGGATGTTCACTAAAATAAAACACCGCATTAGTGAATCGGACAACGCATGAGCACTGTTCATAAATGATGTGAATTTTTTTTGTTCGATTGTTTTGATTTTGACAAATACCAACAAAATGAAAATGACAATTATAAATGGTCAATTATTGTTTCTGAAAGAATAACGATTCTTTTCAGAATTTTATCATCATAATAAAGAGAAAAGTTTCAAGAAATAATAGAAAAAAACCCTTAAGGCAACAAAATGAATAAAGCTCATGTTCAACAACCATTAATATATAGTGGTTCTGCCAATCACACATCACGATCATCAGTTCAATCACTTTTTACTCAATTACTGTAGTGAGTATACACGAGAGAACAATTGAAAGAAAAAGAATATTCACGATTCATTTCACACACACACACACACACACACACAGAACCAAAAAATCCTCATCACCATCATCACATATATATGGTACACATCATTTGATTATATATATAGATCATTAATGAGAAAAAAAAATGAATAGAGATACGATGAAGAAGCGATTCTTTCCATTTTGGTATCGAAATCCCAATTTGCCCATATCATCATCATCATCATCATAATCATTTATTCATGATGATAACAACAAGATATCGAACATGCACACACACACATCTGCAGTTTTTCTTTTGATTTATGGCTTTTCACATTTTTATTTTTTTTACCTTGACCTGGAATGCCTTGACACACACACACACACACACGAATACAATTGACAATGAACAAGAATTGGCCAAACAGACTGATTATTCTTGACTAATCAATTATTCTAGTCACAAGAATTTTGTTTGTTTTAAACAATTTAACCAAAAAAAAAGAGTCACAATAATTTATAATCTAATCTGATTGTCCAAAATGAAAGTATGAAAAAAAAAAAAAAAAAACAATGAGAATTAATGGGTGCGTTTGGCCATTGAAAAAACACATTGTATGTTTATTGTGTATCTGTGTGTGTGTGTGTGTGTGTGTTTTTGCAAACAGAATCTACGCTGTACATTTATCTTTATTATGGAATTTGAATTCTTGGAATAAAAAAAATTTTCACGTGAATAAGAAAGAGGAATATATGTCGTTGTCATCATCATCATCATCATCATCAATACCAGAATCATATCTGGTTTACATCATCATCACCATATCATATCATACAACAAACATTCGATTTATATACAAAATTTGTTTGTTTGTTTGTTGGCTAATTGGATTGTCAGTATTGGATTCTGTTTTTATTCTTATATTCTTGTATCCAATGTGTATATATGATAGGATTTCCAGTTCCATTTCAACCATCCAATGAATTGAATTATCATCATCATCATCATCATCAATAATAATTCCCTCATTTATTATATTACTTATTATAATTCTAATTCTTTCTCATTTTTTTTTTTTTTTTGGTCCATGTATCCACAAATTCCATTTATTATTATTATTATTCCACAATTATTCTTGGTCAAATAATAATAATAATAATAGGATGAAAATGGTACCATTGAAAATGAAGAGCTCAAAGGTTTTCTTAAAGATTTACTTGAATTAGTCAAAAAGGTAATATAGATGTATAGTGTAGTGTTAATTTCGATTGCTGAATTTTTTTTTGTGCATTTTATTTCAGGATTATGATGCTCAAGATTTAGCTGAATTTCAAAAGGCAATATTACATGGCTGCGATTATAATAAAGATGGTAAAATAAATAAAAAAGAATTGACAATGATTTTGTTGGCATTGTCGAAACATTCACCAGATGGATAATGAATGAATAAATGAATCAATGAAACGAAAACACATACAGAATTTATGAATCGCCCACAGTTTGCTTTAATAATGTCAGAAGAAGCAAAAACAAAAAAAAACAAAAAACATCATCAATTCAACAGAATAAATTCTGATGTTCATCTCTGATTTATTTCATCATCCAATTTTGTTTGTTATGATAACCACATACCAGTTATTATTATTATTATTATTCGTTAACCTGAATTAATTTTTGCACATATAATCTACGACGAGTAAATCATCATCGCCTTTTTAAAATTCGATTCAATTGGTTTGTTGTTTTTTTTTTTTCTGATTCATCGGAAACAAATCTGTCAAATTTTCAAGAATTCAGAAATGAAAACAAAAACAAAAATGATCATCAAGAGAGACCACCCATTATTATGTTGATTAACTCTGGCCAACTACCAAAATTTTGCCACCAACGAATTTTGCTTTCACTTTTTCTTTATTGTTTTTGAATGAAATCACACAATACATACACAATCGATCGATCGATCGATCAATCAATCAATCAATTGATACAATTGTTATACTACACACACACACACGCGAACATTTTTTTTTTTTATTATACCTAAGCTTTCTAACTAGTGTAGTAGTGATCATCATTTCTTTTAATATTACCGCAACCATAAAAACAAATTCAAATATTTCCCACTATTTGGCCATTGTTTTGACAATTTCAATTTATATTCATCATCATCATCATCATCAAGTGAACAACAGTAACCAGAACATCATCATCATCATCATCTTTAATGCTAATCAATCAATCAATCAATCAATCAAATAGGTACATCATGAATAATTAGATTTGCAAACAAAATAGTAAATAGAAAAAAGAAATTCTGCTTGGTATGTAGTATGTGTTTTGAAACCAATAGATATGTATCACACACAAAAATAAAATTTTCTGTTTTCTGTTCTGTTTTATTTCTATCTGTTCATTGATAACGAAACGTCTTATGTGAATGTAGTGCGCGCGGTGTGCATTATGTCTGGGAAAAAAATTTTTTTTTTTTGGGCCATAAAGATCACACAATTACCGGTGCCCTGATATAGATAACCGAGCCAAAAAAAAAAATTTTCCACTCGACTGAAAAATCATTCAACCGATGATGATGAGTATATATAAGGAATTTAATTTTCTTTTTTTTCAGGGTAAATGGAATCCCTTTTGGGTAATTTTTTTTTTATTGTTTTTCTCATCATTTTAAATTCAACGACGATAATGATGATGATGATGTGTTCAATAATAATATGGCTCATGGATCGATTGATTTTTTTTTCTTTAAATTTAATTTGGTCTAGTTTCTAGTTTCAACGAATAGAAAATGAATGAAAAAAAAATTCTGGAACATCAACAAAAAAAAATTTTTCATTTCCTACTCACATTTTAATGAAACGGAAACGTTATTATTCGAATTATTATCAGTGTGTTCGGGTGGGTAAAAAAGGGTGGATGAAAAAAACATTAACATCGGTTGAAAAATTGGAAAATTTTTCGAACTCTGAATCATTTTTTTTAAAAATAATTCGAATGTCAATCATAAACAACAACAAATCATATGATTTCAACACACATGATGATGATAATTTCATCAATTATTTTCATAGACCACATGGATTGATTGATATTGTGGATTATGATTAAGTAATAAATGACGATGGTTTGATAACCTCCCATGGTTGTTTTTTTCCGATTGATCTGATTGATTTGATTTGATTTTTCAAGTACTCTGTTTTGATCTCTGTGTGACATGGATTTTTTTTAGATTTCCCAAATTGATATTATTGGCATCTGGCGACAACAACAACAACAATGTAACAATTAAAATGATGAACTGATTTCATTTCTGGTGTACATTATTATGGTGCCAAAAAAATACCTTGGTTACACACTGATAATTAATTTTTTTTTTGTAATCGATCGCAATTCGATATCATCGCCAATTTTTTTTTTTGCTATAAATAAGCCAAATCACCAATCCTAGGATCTCAATCCAAATTGAACATTTCTTTTTCTACTGCAAAAAAAACCGAAATCAAAATCCAAAAAAATGAACATGAAAATTGCTACCATTTTGATTGTCACCTTATTCGTTGCCATCACAATGGCCGATCCAATTCAACGTAAGTTGTCAATTTTTTTTCTTACTTTGATTCTTGAACACATACACATTTCTAATTTCTTGATTGTTTTTGGTCATTTTTAGAAACCTGTCATGATAATGAAGAATGGAAAGAATGTGGAACAAAATGTCCAGATACATGTCTGAATCGTGATATTAAACATCGTGGCTGCGTTCAAATGTGTGTTGCCGGTTGTTTCTGTCGCGATGGTTTCATTCGTTTAGGTTATGATATGACCGGCGGTATTGGCCATTGTGTACCAGTCGATTATTGTGATCTTATACAACGAAATTAGATTGTTGTTGATGATGATGATCCGAGAATTTTTAATTTCTCTCTCTCTCTCTATCTTCTCTCTGTTTTTTTCAATGAATTGAAAATTTGAAATAAAAATAAAAAGATTCATTCAAAACAAAAAACGACTGATTCATACATTGAAAGTAATTTAACTTTCAAAAAATAACTTTGAATTGTGTAAATATGGAATTTTTTTTTTGCCGTATCTTTTTATGTACAGTAACATATTATTTGATCGGTTAAAAAATTGTACTGATGTAGAAAGGAAATCCATGCTTTTTGTTCGGAAAAAGCATGGTCTCACATTCATTCATTCATTCATTCACATATAAACCACGTTCCCTCTTTACAACAATTTCGAAATGGTTCTATTTCTATTTTCAACTTTATATAGAATCAAAAAGTTTGATCTTGAAAATTTATTAAAATCAAACATTGTGCTGAAAACTTGAATCAATATGAACGATTTCAGACATCGTTTAATCATCCAAACGGCAGATGAACGGCACGAACATAGATAATTTAAATCAATATGAAAGGTTCCAGACATTTGCTCGTAAAATCGTTGAACGGCAGGTGAAAGGTATTTATTTATTTATTTGAAACCTTAATAAATGCGAAGTGCCAAGCACTACTGTATCTTTTTCTTATTTTATTTATTTATTTTTTTTGTGAAAGGAACCAAAATCGAAGATTTATACCAAATTACCATGGCCAGCGCGGATAATCCTGGAGAAGAAGACTTCAACAAATTGCGAAATACAATTCGCAAAGTCGATGTATCTTCAACGGAAGTTCATCATGCTGGGCCATGGCTTTATTCCACCTCGGGAATTAACTGCTGAGTGTTCTAAAGGTAAGTGGAAATTGATCATGAAAACCAATTCTGATTCATAATTATTCGACAGACAAAAGTTTGCACAAGTTTTATTATTCTCCGGTGGAAGATTTAATAAGAACGCATCTTTTGTTGGACGAATTACTCAGCAATATAATGAATGAACGGCCCGAGGACGTTTCACCATACATATTGGAAAGCAATATGTTAAATTCATTGCGACTAATATTGTATGGTGATGATTTTGGCTTCGCGAATCTTTTGGACGTTGCACTCAGAAGATTTTTTCCTTGTATTTGGATTCGGATAATAGTACCAAATACAAGACTAAATCGGAAGATTTTCCAGGATTGTGGGTTGAAATAGCCAAAATGAAAATAGCTCTCCTTTTGGCCAATCTCAACACCATCAAGGCAACTTCGATCCGCCAAATCCTTTCACCATTGGTATCAGATTTGAAGCGGCTAGAAGTATGTTTTTGCAAAGTTATTATAATTTTTTTAATAACTTTGATTTCCAGGACCGAGGACTATTCATCCGGGAACGTGGCATCACTATAAAAGTCCGATTGGCTTTTGTGATAGGCGATAATTTGGGTGTGTCAGAACTGTTGGGATTTAAACAAAATTTTTCCACCCATTTCGTCTGCCGGTAATTGATTTTTTTTCTTTTTATGTTTTATCTACATAATTGAACTATTTTAAAGATTTTGCGGCGCCACTTATCGTGAATATAAAGATCATTCAGTGATTTCTAAACCGCTGAACATACATACCATGTAAATACTAGATTATCATAAATATTCAATAGACATCTGTAATATATGTAATTTAAACGTAATTTCTTTAGCAATTACTCTGAAGCCAGACTTAATCCTGGAAAATATGGTATTATGAGAAGCAGTGAGTTTTTTAAACTCAACTGCAATTTGTTCACGTTGGCCCCTCCCGACCTCTTTCATGACATTCAGGAAGGTATTCTGACTGATGTCGTTCAATCAATTTTGATTGGGATGAAAGTAAAAAGAGAGAACTCAGGAGGAAAATCAAATCCATCCGATGGGTCAACTATGCGGTGGAACTCGAGCCGAATTACATAATAACGGAAAAAGGCGATGCAAGTAAGTTTTTAAATGGTAAAGAAAATTAACTTATTCTAGTTTATTTCAGAAATTCGAGTTTTTTTGCCGTCTTGTCGAACTATTCCCGACATTGATGAATGATCAGAACGAAGCTTCGCGAGCCTATCGAAACTTCCTTTACATGATCTTCTCAATCTATGTGAAGATAATCTGCCTTATTGGATTCAATTTTTCCCCGATCGCTTATTTATATTTTTTTCTAATATTTTTAACTTATTGTAATTGTTGTTGTTTATTTTTTTTTTTTTTTTCTCTTTTTTTGTAATGTTTACATGTTTTCCCCCTATTTTTGTTAAGGTATAGGGGTAAATAAAGTTTATTTAAAAAAAAAATGATCTCAATGTATTCGGCTTCGAGGATAGAAAATCTGGATAGAGTTCGGACAGCAATATTGGAAGTTCAACATGTAAGTGTCTTTTATCTTTGACTTTATATATATGTTCTTTATAGCAATAAAATAAAAATTTTGATTTTTTAGTTTTGTTGGAACAACCAAATCCGAACGGCCAAGTCACATTTCCTAAGTCATTACTTGGATTTGTGGCTATATTATGGCCAATTATTCAAATATTCTACAGCGCGATTCGAAAGGCAGCACGCTTCCTTGAAACAGCATTATAAACACAGCAAGAATTTCAGGAACGTTGCTAAATCTTTGGCTCGTCTTCATCAGGAGTCATTGTTTATAAAAAAAATTCTGGATTTCTGGTAAGTTTAGTAGTAATTAAGTTCTTTTACTAAAATTTTCATTAGTCCAAGATTTGCCTTTCGAATCGCGTAATTTGGCAAAAACGTTCCATCCGTTCTCATTGGGACATAACATCGTCCGGGCTGTCATTCACGTTCATTCATCAAAGCCACGAGCTTCTACACTCACCAAGGTGCCATCTTTGTTTCGGGGCAGATTTTTTCCTTGTATTTGGATTCCGATAATACTGCCAAATACAGGACTAAATCGGAAGATTTTCCAGCTCTCCTTTTGGCCAATCGCAACACCATCAAAGCAACTTCGATCCGCCAAATTCTTTCTTGATTTAAAATTTGATTTAATTTGATTTCGCATTTAAAAAAAACCGTTAATTATTGTTTTAAATCAATGTGGTTCAAATACAACTTGATTTTTTTTGTAAATAAAAATCACACTCTAAACATCAATGTCCAGATTTTTTTTTTTTGTTTTATATTCATTTTATTATCACATTAGCGGCATTCAAACTATTATTATGCAATACCTACAGCGTTATGGATTGCAAGATTGATATAGTTGGAGTTTGCGCATCCGTGTGGGCATATCTCCTTTTTTTTTTCTTAAGCTCATCGTTTTTGTTGTTGTTGTTGTTGTTGTCATGCATGGCTTGTATATGACGAGAAATCTTTTTTTTTTTATTAGCAGCTTCGACCTCGAAAACCAGAAGAAAAAATAAAACAAGGCCAAAAAAATCGTTATCGATTGTGATTTTTCCTCTGCATTTATTCATTTTGTTTGTTTGTTTGTTTGATTATTTGGAAAAAAAATTTTTTCTGTTTTTTTTCTCCATTTTCATCATCAGAAACAGCGTTACATCTACATTTTTTATATGCCATAGATACGAGACGACCACAAACAATATATCGCTTGACGACAAAAAAATTTTCATCTGTCATTTGTGTCTGTGTTCGATTGTCAATCAGCAGCAATAATAATCATTCGATTCGATTCGATTTTCTTGCAAAAAAAAATGGAAAACAAAAGCAATACACAGCTATTAATGTTTGGTCCAAAAGGTTTGATCGAAAGTGGACAACGATCATCAACGGTTGCCGATAATTGTTTGACAAAAGATCCGATGTTTCAAAAACTTCGTCAATATCATGATGAATGTGCCAACACAATGGTCATGAATGACATGTTTGATAATGATCCGAAAAGATTTGAAAAATTTCAGTAAGTGAACAAAAATGAATTTGTCCATTTTAAAGAAAATTTTTTTCCCCATACACTATAGTTTAAAGCTGTCCACACCTTATTATGGTTTTTTATTGTTTGATTATTCAAAAAATCTTATCGATGATACAATCATGAAAGGATTGTTGGAATTGGCTCAAAGTCGTGGTGTTGAATCGATGCGTGATCGTATGTTTATGGGTGAAAAGATTAATTTCACTGAAAATCGTGCCGTTTTACATATTGCCTTACGTAATCGTTCAAATCGTCCAATCATGGTTGATGGTCAAAATGTTATGATCGATGTTAATCGTGTATTGAATAAAATGCAAGAATTTTCTCAACAAATCATTGATGGTGTTTGGACTGGTTATAGTGGCAAAAAAATCACCGATATTGTCAATATTGGTATCGGTGGTTCAGATCTAGGACCAGTAATGGTAACCGAAGCATTGAAACATTATCAAAAAGGTCCAAATGTTCATTTTGTATCGAATATTGATGGAACACATTTACATGAAACGTTGAAAAAATTGAATCCAGAAACAACATTATTCATTATTGCATCGAAAACATTTACAACACAAGAAACGATTACCAATGCTGAATCGGCTCGTGATTGGTTTCTGAAACATGCCCATGATAAATCGCATGTTGCCAAACATTTTGTGGCATTATCAACGAATAAAGAAAAAGTGACAGAATTTGGTATCGATTCAAATTCAATGTTTGAATTCTGGGATTGGGTTGGTGGCCGTTATTCACTTTGGTCCGCTATTGGTTTGTCCATTTGTCTGTTCATTGGTTTCGATCAATTTGAACAGCTGTTAGAAGGTGCCCATTTTATTGATGAACATTTTCGTCGTGCACCATTGGCTCAAAATTTACCTGTATTAATGGCATTGTTAGGTGTTTGGTATGTTAACTTCTATGATGCTGAAACACAGGCAATTCTGCCATATGATCAATATCTTCATCGTTTTGCCGCTTATTTTCAACAAGGTGATATGGAATCCAATGGAAAATATGTAACACGTTCTGGACAGACGGTAAATTATCGTACTGGTCCTATTGTTTGGGGTGAACCAGGTACAAATGGTCAACATGCATTTTATCAATTAATTCATCAAGGTACACGTCTTATTCCATGTGATTTTATTGCACCGATCAAAACATTGAATCCAATTCGTGGTGGTCTTCATCATACAATATTGTTGGCCAATTATTTAGCTCAAACGGAAGCATTGATGCGTGGTAAAAGTAGCGAACAGGCTGAAAAAGAGCTTCGTGATCAAGGCAAAAATGATGAAGAGATTAAAAAAATTTTACCACATAAAATATTCGAAGGCAATCGGCCGACAAATTCATTTTTGCTCGACGTTATATCACCATTCAATCTTGGTGCATTGATTGCATCGTATGAACATAAAATTTTTGTTCAAGGTGTTATCTGGGACATTAATTCATATGATCAATGGGGCGTTGAATTGGGCAAACAATTGGCTAAAACAATTGAAAAAGAGCTACAATCAAAAGATTTGTTGATTGATACACATGATTGTTCAACAAATGCATTGATCAATATGATCAAAAATATTGATAATCAATCATGATTTTGAAATTCTAATGGCAATAATAATAATTATCATTACTAGTTTTATCACCGGATTAGATAGTTGCAATAGAAAAATTATCAAATCAAATCAAAAAAAGTTTTTGTTGTTAAAAATTCTTGGCAATAAAATTCGAAATTCTTGTTACAAATGTTCTCTATTACGCCATCTATTGGCTTGAAGCTGTAATTTTATAAACATTCCATATTTACCATGTGTGATGGTTTGATTTGAATAAATACAAAAAATCGCAAATTGAAAATTGTCAATTTTCCATTTCTATATATTAGATAAATAAAATGACCGATTCATATTGGTCAAATTTTCCACCAAAATCAAGTTCCAGATTGATTAAAATTACCGATAATGACCGGGAAATTGATACGATTATCGATAATCATCTATATGGCCGTTCAATACAGATATTTTCTGAAAATAGCCAATTACAACAACAAATGAAAACTTTTCTCATCAATCATAATGAAATGGCATTTTTATTGGTCAAAAATCTACCTGTTTATCTTTTGATTCAAGATGAATTTATTCGTACATTTTGGAATAATGGTTACGTTCACGGTGTTTCGGGTAAGTTTTTTGCCAGTTTTCTTTTTACACCTTTTTAATCATTTTTTCATAATAATATAGTCAATCGAGATGTCAATACTGAAAACACAATGGCCATTATTGATCGAAAACGTATTATTTTATCATTGAATTCACAAACATATCATCGATTAGGAATTATTGGCACAGAATCAACCATGAATCGTAAAAAATGTTTAATGCCAAAATATCGTGTTCTCATTGATTTGGATAAGCCTTTTTTTCGGCCAGATAAACGTCATTATAAACGTATTGATGAATGTTTACGACGATCTGGTTTAAAATTCGATGTGATTCTAAAATGGCAACCAAATCAAATGACAAATGTTTCACCTGATTCATTGGAAGAATATTTTCAACATTTAAAACAACAACATAATTCAAATGATCCAATAATCGCCAAAATGACCATACATAAATGTATTCCAAATTATCAATCATTCTGTCAGAAAGTTGACCATATTTTCAACATGGATAAATTATTAAACAATCCAAACATTGATGAAAATGAAACTGCCGATTTTATTGAATGGTGTTGTGCACAAATGGCTCATGTAAAATGTGAAACAAACGATCTAGAAGTATCAACATTTCAATTGGATCAATCGTTATCGATTCCGAAACATGGCAATATTTATGTCATACAAATCAATGGCTTTTTCATTCACGAAAATGTAAAGAAATTAATCCAAATACTTAAACCATATATTTGTAACATTGAAAAAGATTCTCACACAAATATGGTGAATGCAATTATTGTACATGGATTTGAAAATTGTCCACAATGTTGGTGTGGAACAAATAATGAACATTATAAAAATCTTTCCGGAGAAAATCTATATGGTTTTAGCATATTGAATTCAAAAATGAAATTAATTTGGTGCCAAAGTGATGATTATGATTATGGAATAGAAAAATTCTAGTCCGATATATCGATTATATTCGTACATCAATCATCTGCATACACACACACACACACATGTTGCTCAATTTTTCATATGATTTTTGTGACAATTAAAAATTCTTTTTTTTAATTTTCACATTTGTTGAATAAACGTGATTGAAATGAATAATCATCCGGATAACCGACACAGATCTAGATGGGGAGCTGGTCGTCGTCATGTCAGTGGCAGTGGTGGTGGTGGCCACCGTATTCGACAGAATATTTCATCACCAAAATCGAATGAAAAATGTGAATCATCGTCATCGTCATCATTTTACGTGAAGAATTGACAGTAATATTTACCGGTCTTAATAATCTTTCCGTACAAGATGGAAAAGATTCGAAAAGAATTATTGCTTTATTGGAAAGTTTACATTCATTAATGGAAATGAATAAATCATCAATCACAACCACCAAACAAGATAATGGTACTGTTTTCGGTGATTTTAGTCAAGAATTATCTCGATTAAATCAATTTTTATTCGACATTAAAACCTTATTGAATAATAATAATGTAGAAAATTATCAATATCATTGTGATCTATTCCGGTTACAGAATTTATTATTGAAATCATTTAATATTCTTTTGAAAACGACCAAAATTATTGATGAATCACCACTATATGGCGATATTCTTGAACATTTGATTGATTATTTAATCCAAATGAAGATTATTATTTGTAAATCATCCGGTCAACAACGAAATGATGATAATATTATCGTTACATTGAATCAATCATGTTTATTACTATTGAAATGTATCTATTTACTTTGTTCAAAATTCACCATTTCATATGGTAATAATTTGAGAAAGACAAATGTTTCCGGCAAATTAATCGGTATATTACGATGTTTTATGTTTTATGGCCTGAACAAATATGATTTAGAATCATATCCAGTAAATTTATATCCATCACCTATCAGTCAATTTATGATGAAAGATAATGGTGGTTTGAATAGTAAAAAACGACGAAACAATAGTAATCGATTTGATGATGATGAAATTTTTGATGAAATTCACAACAACAATTCACCGAATTTATCGACATCTGAATATTCGTCATCAGAATTGGATGAATCAATTTCGACCACAACAGCAGATACAATGACCATAAGACGAGAATTTCAGAATAAGAAAAGTTTCGTAAAGATTCGAATGTTTGCCTATGAATGTTTACGAACATCATTGGATGTATTCGATATTCGTACTATATTCGGATTTTGGTCATTTTTATTTCCTGATTCCAGTTCATCATGGCCATATGATCAACAATTTAGTCTGTTGACAACAATTTCTAATGATACATCCAATCGTGTACGATCATCGGCATTGAATTTTATGTATAATTTTCTTGATGATGGAAAACAATATATTCAACATTTGGTACAAGATTCATCATCATCATCATCGTCATCATCAACAACAACATCATTATCATTCACATCATTATCACGATCATTAGCAACAATGATAAAAGAATTGCATCGATTTTTTCATTATATCCTAATGAAAGAGAATAATTGTTCAATATTAATACTGGTCTATAAAGTGTTGTCATTGATTGTATCGATAACACCATATCATAAAATTAATGATAATATTCTAAATCAACTATTCAGTCAAAATAGTTATCTGATTGATAATAAAGTGACACAGATTAAAAATCTATCATTAGCATTATATGTGAAGATTTTCAGTATGCAAATGATACCATCATATCTTGAATTGTGGATAATTGAAACGAAAATTGGCTGTGATACTATGAATAAAATATTCATACAATGTTATGAATTTATTGATAATCAAGATTACATACTGTTGATTATTGAATCAATTAAATTATTCATATCGATTCTACGACATTCACAGTTTGCCATACGATTATTATCGATGAAAACGATAAATTTCAACATACATACATTATGTATGGACCTGTCGATTCGAATAGTTGAAATGGACAAAGCATTTAATAATTCTGTTTTGCAAACATTAATGTGTAAATTTATTCATACAATTGGAACATTTTTAAAGGATTTATCATCTGATGATAAATTGGAAATATTTCCCAATCACGAATCACGTATAGAATTCATTAAAGAATGGTATTTAAAAATTATTGATTCGAAAATATTTTATCAAGCATTAGTTGAACAAGATATGGCCATTGTACAGAATTCATCACAAATAACAATGATAAATGTTATTTCATTGATACCGGAAAAGGTGTTTGTCCGATTTGATCAGAAAATTCGTTTCAATATTATATCGATATTGATTTCATTATCGAAAATTGATCATGATGATAATCAACAGCGGCCAGAAACAGTGGATAATGATGATGATGAAAATGAATTATGGATCTATACAAAATCTACATCAATCAGATGTTTAAGTATACTACAATCATATGATTGTTTTGTTGAAGATTTAGTATTGATTATGGATCTAATCGATATATGTTTGGATGTATTTCACGATGATGATGATGAATCGAATCATTCGTATCGTCGAATGGCTAAAAAGAAGCAAATATTTCTTTTTGAACATACACTTTGGGCATTGGCAAATATTTTAGATTGTGTAAAAAAGAATCAACTCGAAACAATAATGGAATATTCATTTTTGATTAGAATTGGTCATATTATGGAAAAACTTTATACAGAAATCACACATCATACTGATGATATGTTCATTAATTTGGTTCGCAATTCATCGATAATCATCTATCTGATATTGTGTAAACAGAATTCTCATTGTTTTTCTGATTCAGATTTAGCCATGTTTCATCGGAATAAATCCCATAATGATGATGAAATTGATCAATCAAATATTCAAATGATCATCAAACATATGTATGAAATATTGGCCAAGAAAAAATCATATAAACTTCAATGGAATATTTGTATTGGGTTTTCATATCTGTTTCCAATGGAAAATTTTATCAAACTATGTGGTGTGGATATGATTGAACATATTATGGATACATTATATCAAACATTCCTGAATACGGTCAATCATAAGGTGCAATCATATTCAATTTATACAATAAGTTGTATATATGAATTGAATATATTCCAAAAACATTTATCAAAATTATGGTCATCATTGATTGAAAAATTTATCGATAATTTATTAATTGTTCCCATACATAATCGTCGTACATGGTTGGATAGATTTGCCATTGCAATTGAAAAATTTTTCAATGAATATGTTCAACAACAACAACAACAACAAAATGATGATGATGATGTTCAAAAAAATTGTAGAAAATTGGCTGAATTTTTAGCCATGGAAATCGGGATGAAAAATTCGGATTTTGATGATGAAATTCGAAATAAATTGGAAATGCTTTATAATATTGTGACAAACAAACAAACAAAAAAAAATGAAAATTTTTGAATAAAATTTTTTGTTTCGTAACACTATTTTCATCCTAGCTGACATACTAATGCCGATTTAGACATTGATGATTTTTGTTATTCAGAATTTTTTTTTTTTTTTTGGTTGAGCGGCAATCACAGAATTCGATTTTGCTTTTCGTGAAAAAGACATGGCTCAACGAAAACGTAACATTGAATTTTCAAGGCCAGAAGAGCCATCATTTTTGAAAAAAATGAAAAATCAAATGGGAATCCAAAAAGATTTTGTCACCATCGATACAAAGGTTTGAAAATGAAATTTTGATCGATCTCTAATTTAATGGTATGATGATCAATAGAAAGAAAAACTCAATAAACAAGATCTCGAATATCGTGATGAAGAACCAGTTTATGTAGTGGATGAATCATCAGGAATCAGTGAAAAAGAATTGGAAATGTTTAAAGCGAAAACAAAACAAGGTTTGTGCCATACACGTGTTATTCTTTTTTTTTATTGTTTAAATCTCGTCTTATTCACCATAAAAATAACTAGAGAAAGATTATCAAAAAGATAATGAATCATTTGAACAGCGAATCATATTTAAAAAACCAGATAAATCAAATACTAATGATGATGATCAATCAGGATCATCATCAACGACGACATTTCAAACGACAAAGAAAACAAAGAATTTTTCTCGTTCAAATTTGGTTGATAAAGATCGAATAAAAAAGGTGAAAAATTCTAGCCTATTATCATTCGATGATGATGATGATGATGATGGTGAAGATTAATCAATAATCAATGGTTGATTTTAAAAAGAAAATCTCTCTCATCATTGTATAAACAGAGCTTTAATTTTCGGTTGAGAGTAACTTTTTATGTATAAAAAATATCCAACAATCGACTCATCACGAATTATTCATTCATACATACACAGCTGATATGTGGATTTGATTGAAATTTTTTTTTTGTTTTTTTTGGTCAAGAATTTCACCACACATTGATTCAGGAGACATTTGTAAAAAAAAATCAAGAAACAATGCCTGAAGCAATAATAAATAATGATGAAATCAATTCGATGGCTAAAAATGTTATCGAAACAATTATATCGATGAATGAACCATATAAACATTCCGATGTAGCCGGATGGAATGATTCGATTTGTGAACAAATTGTACAACGATTAATGCAGATGAATGGTAACCAATATAAATATATTGTATCCTGTTCAATTGTACAGAAAAATGGTGCCGGTATTTCTGCAACAGCACGTTGTTATTGGAATCAAACGAATGATCAATATTTTAATATACGTTGGGAGAATAAACATTTATATTGTATTGTTCATCTATTTATTGTTTCATTGTGATTTCACCCTCATTACCGGAATGATTTTTTGATTTTTCACCACTTTCCTTATCTCTGGTCACAAATGATGATTATTATTCAAAAATCAAATCATCCAGAAAACATCTTGGCAAAACATTTTTTGTTGTATATTTATTTCTTTCTCTCATTCATTCATTGTTTGCATTGATTAATCGAATTGGATTTAAAATAAAAAAAAAATTAAAAAGATTAATAAATTAATAAATTACATGAGTTTTTTTTCTCTCGAAACGGCAATCATATTTTTGCCATTTCCGTTTTTTTAATTGATTTTCACTATAATCGATGAATGATTGAACCCATTATATGACCACAAAAATGATTCGATTCTATATATACCCAAAATGTGTGTGTGTGTGTGTGTGTGTGGGTGTGTGAAGGTTATATATCATATCATATCGGGTGTTCAAACAAAATTATTATCCCGTTTCATTCTTTTTCTTCTTATTCATCACCCTGTATTTTTTTCATTTATACTAATTCCAAATTTTATCGTTTGGTGCGCTTTTGTTGTTTCTTTTTCCCGTTTCTATCAGTATGTGTGTGTGTGTGTGTGCATAGGGGCGTATCGGATTTATCGATGTTGTGTGTGTGTGTGTATGTGAAATAAGCCGAGCAAAGAAGAAACAACAAAAACTAGAGCGCACCGATCGACCCTATCGAATTTTGCTCATTTCACACACACAAACATTCATTGAAGAAGATATTGCTATACTTCAAACAAAATTCAATTTTTTTTGTTGTGTCTATTCCCGTATATATTATTCAACATTCGACAAATACGCCACTATCGTCAACAATTGGAATTACATTGAAGAACAAAAAGAAGTAACACAAAGGTGGTCGAAGGTGATGATGATGATGATGATGACGATGGTAGTGGTTGTTTGGTTCATATCGACGATGCAACAACATTTATTATAATCTCTCTCCAATTTCTCTTTGCATACAAACACAACACACACAGAGTTAAACCCCACCGAAATCAGTTTTGGTGCCTGTCACTTTTTTTTCTATCCACACTCAATATATTTGTTGAGCCAGCCACCGCCTCCTCAAATTTACTTCTTTTTCTTCTTTGATCAAAATATTATTCTCGTGCTCACAATTTTTATCAAAAACGCAATCCATATATCATTATTCTGGTAAACAGATAGAACCTGAATTTTAGTTTCACGTGTGAATTTTTTTTCCGTTTTGTTTGAAACGAATTTCAAAATTATTCTGTTTCACTTTATTTTTGTTGTGCTGAATTCGCTACTCACATTGGAATTCAAAACGACTTTGTTTTTTTTCATTTCATTTCGAATTAGATCTGATTCGAATTCGTTTGGTGTATTTGTCTGTGTGTCTGCATTATCATCATTGTAAAAACGGAACGATTTTTTTTCCTTTCGTTATTATCATTGTTGTGTTTGTTCGTGCGGCTATAACCTAATTGGATCAAAATAGTTGTACGTTTTCAGTTTTGAGCACACACGTTGTTTATCTTTCTCTTCACTCTGTCATCATCATCGTTAATTCCGTTTTGTGTGTGTGTGTGTGAATATTGACGAAAAAAAAATTCAAAATAAATTCTCTTAACTTGGAATCATCAACACTTTTTCGTTCATCATTGAATTTTTGTGTGTGTCTGTGTTAGTTATTTTTTTTCCTATATCGACAAAATCGACCATCAAAATCGAATCTCAACATTGGTGATCAAAATAATCTATAAATTTTGATTTTTCGAACTATTTAAACCATCAAAAAAGTAAGTGTTGAATTTGCCGAAATCTTTATATGTGACATATATGTTTTTAATAATTTATGCGTGTGTGTTTTTGTGTATGTATGTGAATGATGATGATGATTGTCAAATGTTAAGACAAACTAAACACAAATAACACACATGTGTATTTGTTTATATGATTTTTTTTGTTGTTTTTGTTGTTGCCATTCAATTTGAATGTAGTGCGCGCGATTTTTTTTCATTTATTATAAATGAACAAAAAATTGAATATGATTTTTGGCCAATTTACATAATCAGCTGATTTTTGAATCTATTATGTTATTCGGTTAGGTTATTCTTGTGATATATTCAGAATATTCTTAAAGCTAAAAAATATAGTGGCCAGTTTATTGAATTCTATCTTTCTCCCATTCGATGCCATTTTTTCTCATTTCTTATGAATGGAATTTATTGCTATCTCTTTTTTCAGGAATTATCCAACCGAATTTCATTTTTTTACCATCGAATCCATTTTCATTATCCTTTGTCGTTGTTTTCATCATCATCATCGTTGTCGTCGTCAAAAAAAAAGCCAATATGGCGGCGATGGCCAACTAGTGCTCACTCAACATTTTTACAAAAAAACAGACTTATACAGAAAAAAAAATACAGACACACACACGCATACAATCGACCGCTGTTTCAGCTTGGTTGGTTGGAAGGTTGATGATGATGATGATGGTGGTTGGTGGCGGTGATGGTGGTGGTGGTGTTGGTGGTGGTGGTGTTAATGGTGATGGAGCATGCGTATGTGATGCTTTTATCTTAAATGGTGTGTGTGTGTGTGTGTTGTTTGTACTGTTTAATATTACAGTCAATACTCTTGTATAAGAACGCTTTTGTTTTAAAGTCAAGAATTTTTTTTTTTGATTAGAATCCCGTTGATTAAAATTTTCATTTTTTTTTCTTTCGTAAATATCTGAATTATTTTTGTATTTGATTCTGATTCTGTAATTTGTATTTTATTGCAAACCATATCTCGTTCTCTCTCTCTCTCTCTGTCCATGTGTTTAGAGAATGTAACGACCGGTTTTTTTTCATTCAGATTTCTGATGAATGAATTATGTTATCGTTCCATGAATTGATGAATCTTTCGTTTCATTCATTAACATTTGGAATAATAACCGAATAATCACTGTAAAAACAACACACACACACACACACCAAGTTTCGAGACGCCTTTAGTCTCTTTTTCTAGGCAAATTTTTTTTTTCGTTTCTTTTCATTTCTTGTGCCCTGTGTGTGTGTGTGTGTCGATTTCGTTCCTGCGACTATAATAAATAAATATAAAAAAATACGAGAAAAACGACAACGATTGAGCCAAAATAATAATCGTCAAGAGCGTCCTATTTGAACATTATAAACACACCACATACACAGATTGATAGATAGATAGAGCTCAATATCAAAAAAAAAAAAAAAATTACAGGGAGGAGGAGTAGAATTTTTTTGTTTGTAGGTGTGTTTGTACTGTGTATTTAATAGATGATTATGATGATGATGATGATTTATTTGATTTGGATTAATAAAATTGCATAAAAAAATTGATTTTGTGATATTCTTGAAAAGTTGGGGGTGTGTCTATATGTTTGGTAATTTTTTTTTGTTTTGTTCATTGCATTGACTCAATTGTCAAACACATTTGCATACACGGACCTGTTGTTGTTTTTCGTCATTTGTATTCGGTGTGGTTACATATATTAATCAGTTTTTTTTCGTCTTCATTTTGTTTATTCATTATAGTTTTGTTTTCCCATTTTGAATAATCAGTAAATAATCGAAAAAAAGAATATGGATGATTCAACAACACCGGTATCCGATACAATCGTGGCCGATAATGATGAAGAACAATTAAAGAAGAATGATGATGATGATGAAAAATCAAATTCTGTTATCGATGCCGATGACGATGATGATATTGAACAATTGGATTCGAATAATGATAATGTTTTAAATGAAAATGATCAACAACAACAACAACAAAATAATGTTGAATTGATTGATCTTTCAAATGATGGTAAGTTATTGGTATCATCGATTTTCTCAAATTTTAACTTTTTTTTATCCGTTTTTTAAAATAGAAGAGGATGATGACGATGACGATGATGATGTACAACAAGAACAAGATGAAGAATCACCAATCAATAATGTTGATGAAGAAGATGATAAAGGAATTGAAATGATCGAAAATGGTGATGAATCTGATTCAAAAGCTTTTGATAATGATGATGATGCGGATGCGGATGTGGATGAAGATCAAGATAATGAAATGATCAATTCTATAAATGGTGATTCATCATCATTGATTAATGATGGTGGTTTACAATCGGCAACAGCTAGTACAGCAATTGATGATGAAATTATGATTAGTGAAGATGAAGATGATGATATTGTGGATGAAGATGGTGTTGGTGATGATGGTGAAGATTCATTAGCCGCTTCTGCAACAAAGAATATGGTAAATGAAAATAAATTAAATTCCATTAATAATAACATTTTGAATAAACCACAGAATCTGGTTACGAAATCATCATTGAATTCTGTGAAAAATAATCAACAATCAATCAATAATAACAAAATTACTGAAGAAATTGTCATCGAAGATGATGATGATGATGATGACGATATGGATGATGAAGATGAAGTGCAAGATTTATCAACAAATAATAAATCAACATCGAAGCATGTAAAAGCAGAACAACAACAACAACAACAGAAGCCACAAGAACAAGAAATGAAACAAAAATCAAAAGATAATGATAGCGTAGATGATGTGGTTATTGTTGCTGAAAAAACATCGATTGAAGATTTGATTCCTAAATTGACCGATGAATTGATTGGTTTTCCGAAATTTTTCCAAAATGTTCTCACATTAGGTGATTGTATAGCGATAAATAAAAAATCTCGTAGTGATATCGATATTGATAAAGATTATTCCATACTTGATTGTCCATCACAAGTGGTACCATTGATCGTAAAACGGGCAAATAAATTTCCTACAAAATTGAAACAAGATAATTTGGATCAATCAACACAGAAACCGGCACCGCCACCACCATCTACACAGACGAATAATACAAAAAATATGTTGACCATATCGGATTTTTATTCCAGTTCAGTGGGAAAATTTTTAATCGGTATTGGCCTGAGTCGTGTTAAACAATGGTATCATAAAGATGCTATTAACAAAGTACGAAAACAGATTCGTAAAGAAGGTGATGCCGAAGATTTGATGGAAGAACTAAAGAAACAGCAAGAATATCTAAATTGTTGTCGTGTAGCGAATTCATCATACATTTATCCAACGATAAAATGTGAACATTGTGATTTTCGTACCGAATTTCAATCGGTATTACAAAATCATATGGCATATCCACATCAAACATCACGTAAAGAATTGAAGTGCAATTATTGTCAATTTTCTACACGTGATTCAAAAGTTATTATTGATCATGTACAATGTATGCATGAACGTAAATGTATGATTGAATTACCACCACAGCTATATGAATGTCCAATTTGTCCATATGAATCTGGTGTGAAATCAAAAGCTGCAACACATATAGCAAAATGTTTGAAATTTTTTCTACCAGAAAAATTATTGGTCAATAAAGATGATTATTTTCCAACGATAACACCGAAACCAATTACACAGGAAGATATAAAAATCTATGAAGCTACATTACAAGCATTACGTTTTGCTGCATTGAATCCACAAACAAAGGTTCCTCAGATTGCTGGTCTACCGCCAGGTCTTCAACAACAAATGTATCTTGTTCAGCAACAACAAATGAATCGAATTGGACCATCATCAGGTCGTATTAAAAAACATCATCATCACCATCAACAGCAACAACATCATCATCATCAACAGCAACCATTCGATGCTCATCATCAAGCTCATCATCAACAATCATTAGGCCAATCATCCATAATGGCTCATACATCATCATCATCATCATCGGCAAATAAAATGAATCGACATAATAATAATGCTGTCACTGCTAATCTTGCTGCCAATGTAAATCAATTGGCTGGATTGAATCTGCGTAATGTTGCGGCACCACAATTGTATAACATGTTGGCCAATACACAGGCTGCGGCACAATTTTTACAGAATCCGGCCGCAGCAGCAGCTGCCGCTGCTGGATTACAAGGTCTATCACCAAATGCACTTAGTTTATTGAATAAAACACATATGTTGGCCAAATTACAGAATATTGCCGGTACAGCTGCTGTTGGTGGTGGTGGTCTATCGGCCTCACCACAACAACAACAACAGCCACAACATTCATCATCATCATCATCCAGTCGTCATAATAGTAGTAAATCAAATATCATATCAAATAAACATCATCATCATCATTCACAGCAGCAACAACAACAACAACAACAACCGAATAATTTAACAGTTGGTTCAGCTGCTGCAGCAAATAATCCAAAAGGTTCATTTGTTATGTGTGAAATTTGTGATGGTTATATCAAAGATTTGGAACAATTACGTACACATATGCAATGGATCCATAAGGTATGTTGTATATAAAAATTGAAATAAATTCTGGAACTGATTTTTAAAAACATATGTTATTGAACAATTCAGGTACGAATTCATCCGAAAATGTTGGCCAGTAGACCACCATTGAATTGTCAAAAATGTCAATGGAGATTTTTCACCGATCAAGGCCTTGAACGTCATTTATTAGGTTCACATGGTCTTGTTACATCGAATATGCAAGAAATGGTTAATCGTAATGAAGATGGTGGCCGTTGTACGATTTGTGGTCGTGTATTCTCCAATAAATTGGTTACTCACATGAATCATGTAAGGATTTTATTTGTAATTCAAATGATTTTATTTTAATAAAAATTTTTTTCATCAATTTAGGCCCATAAAATCAATCTAAAACCAGCACATTTAAGCTACAAATGTACGGTGTGTTCAGCCACATTTAATCTTTATAGATTATTTGAAAATCATGTATACATGGTACATAGTGGATCGGTCAAACGAAATAATAATAATACAGCTGATAATGAATCATCATCATCATCGATGCCGCCAAGAAAAAAGGCTGCATTAGATATGTCAGCAAATGGTAATTGAAAAAAGATTTGGGGTTGAAATATGTATAGAAAAATTCAATCTATACTTGCTAACACACATCTACATCCATTCGTTTAAAGCTTTATAAAGCTATATATATCGATTGAATATTCCTTGCGCCAATCATCCCATCATCATCATCATCATCATCATCATCAAAATCATCAAGTTCATCAACTTCATCATTAAAAGAATAGAAATTGAAAATTTTCATATGGAAAATACCAAAAAAAAAAGAAAAAAAATGTTGATGTATTGGATTTTCAATTTTCATAATTAAAAAAAAATGTAAATATTATTTACTCTCTTTATTATTATTTTATTCATTAAGACGCTTGTTCAACATTATTTCTACTACAAAAATAACAACCAAACAAACAAACCAACAACAACAACAACAATTCAATTTAACACACCCACCCACCCACACACACGGCAAGTATACATATACAACAAATTATTATTATTAATCAAATCAAATCAATCAATCAAATTGTTTATTATTTATAAGTTTATTTAAAAATTTTGGAAAGATGAAAAAAAAAATTTGGGATGGAAGAATTATAACAGAATCTATCATTTTCAAATCACAACACACACGAATACAAAAAAAAAAATACAAATAGGTCTGACTTGAATAACGAATTTTATAATAATAATAATGAATGATGACTAAATTGAAAAAAAAAAATTTTCCTTCAATAATTCAATTTTCAATTTGCTTTATCGTTGATAAATTTATCGATACCTTCGGTTAATAATTTGAATGTCATTCCATTATTCACTAGAATACTGCAAACATTTATACGTTTTAAATCGATTATATTCCGTTGTTCATCATCGAAAAATATTATCTGATCAAATTGGCAGCCAGATTGTTTTGATAATTGTGTTAAATGTTGAATTTTACAACCAGGATAGATTTGTTTATAATCAATCCAATGATTCCATTTTAATAATTGTAATAAATCATTCGCTTCTTGTATAGCACTGGTTCGTGATGCAATACCAATCATGTAGCCTAATGATTTTAATCGTTCTAGTATGGCTGGTACTTCGGGATAATATTTTACCAATGCTCCATGAACATCATAAACATATTTTCCACTATAAAAATTGTATTATATTCAAATGGTAATGAATTTAATTAATCATGAATGCAATCGACCATAATGAAACACTTACTTTCGATGAAATGGAGGTGTAACATGAGTGTCCACCCAGAATGGCCATAATGTATAATCTTTGATTTTGAAAACAAAACAAAACAAAACAAAAAAATTTTATCCACATATCACATTGATTGAAATGATATCACTTACCTAAATCGAAAACAATTAATTTTAAATCATCAATTTTTTGGATCATTTGGGCCATTTGGATCTTTCTCCTGTTTATACAAATAATAATAAAAAATCAGAAATCAGATGATGATTCTTACAACAACAACAACAAAAAAATGACAAAAACATGCATTTTCTGGACAAAAGATGTCGCTCAAATCGATTAACATTTGAACATTCGAAAACAAAAAAAAACGAAAAAATTCAATTTACCTTTCCAAAATACCATGATTGACATTTTCCATGTTATTATTATTTTAATTTATCGTTCTCTCTCTCACACACTCACTCACTCTCTATCTTCATCTTATTTGTTCAATGTCGTCAATATATCTAAATGATAAAGAGAAAAAAAATCTTTATAATTAATTTGTTTATCTCGTCGTTTTGGTTCGTTTGTTACGATCAGTATGCGAAAAACAAGAACAACAACAACAACAATATACAATTTACAATTTACATGTACTTTTTTGTTGTTGTTGTTGTTAATAAGTATTCAAAAACAAAACAATGTTAATTATAATTATTATTATTATTATAATATAAAAATGGAGCCTTGAAAACGAAAAAAAAAAAAAACAAAATGGAATGAAATAGAAAATGATAATTTTTTCAATCGATATCGATTGTCACACATACATACACACACACACACAGTCATAATTGATTCTTTTTTCTCAACCAACGTTTTTGTTTTTTTTCGACGATATTCATTAATCGATCGATTTGATTGATTGATTCTTTCATTCAATCATTAATTCATCGTTTTATGTGCCTCACAATAATACATCATAGAATTTGTCGTTTTCTTTTGTGGAATTCTGGTTTTTTATTTCTCTTTTAAATAACAACAACAACTACGAAATACAATGAACGATACCAGAATCATTTATTCATTTCAGAAGAAGAAAAGTGACTGAAAGAAAGAAAAAGACAGACAGACAGGGTAAGTATTTGATCAGAAAAAAAACACATCTTACCTCATCATCATCATCTAAAATCTTATCAAATCATTCATTTCATCCCATCATCATTATTATCAGCATCATCATTTTTTTTCAGTGAAGAGAGAGAGAGAGAGAGAAATCCGACTATATAATCATCATTCATACACACACAAACATTTCGTGATTATCATCCAGAAAAAAAACGTTCGATTCATTTCATAGTGTGTGTAAATAGACATACTGTGTGTGTGTGTGTGTATATATCATCAGGGGTATATTACCTACCTGTCCATCTGTCTGTAGTTTTTTTTTTTTTTATTCCTGTGTGTGTGTGTGTGTGTGTTCGAGTGCATCCGATAGTCAACAAAAAGTCATGGTAAAAGTTATTCATTTTTTTTTGATTTTCATCATCATCATCATCATGATCGTTGTCGGAACGAGAGTCGATACGATTGAATGGTAATAACTACCACCACCACCACCACCATCACCATCATTATTATTTGTATGAAATGAAAAAAAACTTGTTTTCCACTTGTTGTTGCTGCTGTTCATTCCAAATTCATTCATTCGATTCTTCTTCAAGAAAAATGTCTGGACAATCAGGATCTTCGTTCACACACACCACATGCACTTATTTAACTTGAATCAAAAAAATCATCATCATAATGAATTCTGAAAATAAAGAAAAAAAAAACTCAACCTGCAAGTTCTAATATGCACACAATTGGCAATCATTCTGAATGAATGAATGAATTGGATATGAAGAATGTGCAATGAACTTGAAAAAAAATAACAAAAGATTAGTTGTTATCGTTGATGAGAAATAAAAAAAAAATTCTTGAAATCGTTGGATTCATGTATCAAAGTAATCAAGATCATCATCATCATCATCATAATTGTGGCCATTACATTCTTAATAACAAAATGCGTATAATACACGCATACACACACTCACCAATCATTTTTGCCTACGGTTGTCTTCAACGAAATCGATGATGATGAACGAATTTTGAATGATGATGATGATGATGATGATGATTTGATATCGTTTTCAATTCGATTCGATTGGAAATTTTTTTTTTTTTGATTGATAATGATGATTATTGTTGTTTGTTGTTGTTGTTGTTGTTGTTGAATGGTAAGAAAAAAAAAGATTTAGATAATCATCATCATCATCATGATGTAATTTAAATAATTTATAATCAAATATTCGATATCCTCTATATCAAAAATAGAGGATTTCCGCCGTCCATATATATTGTATATGTCCGGATTTTTTTTCTTTGTGTTTTCTTTGTTACGATTTTTCCATTTTAATGAATTTTGGGAATTTACCCGTATGTGTGTGTGTGTGGGGTGGGTGGCAGAGAAAAAAAAACCTGATTATTACATAATCGATCGATATAATATTGGACAAAGGAAAAAAAATGTTGAAAGAATGTTGTCGTCATACACTGTGAGCAAAGCAGAGACATTCATTAATCGTTTTCTTGTTGTTGTTGTTCAATATATTTGAATCCTGAATTGAATTTAGATTTTTCTCTCTCTCTCTCTCTTGTTTGTTTGAAATGAAAATTTTTTTTTTTTTTGAATCAAATTTATCAAAAAAAACGACGACGACGACAACGACAACAAAACCTGAATCAAATTGAATGAAAATAATTGATGATGATGATGATGATGTGAAATGTTGTCCTGACCACCAAACCAACCATGCAACCAAGCGACCAACTTACTAACCAACCAATCATTCAACCAATCAACCAACCTACCTACCACCTCCACACCTTTGCCATATTTTCAACATCATCATCATTATTGTTTTGTGGTGGTAGCTGCAAGACAAAAAAAAATCAAAATTTTTGAAATGAACAACAAAAAAAAATTTTTTAATATGATGTAGTTGTGTGTGTATGTAGAAAAAGTAGTAGAAAAACCTGTGTGTGTGTTGTCCATGTTCGATGATTATGATAATGATGACGACGACGACGACGACGACATTCAATGATGATGATGATGATGAAAAAAAACAGGTATGGCCACGTTTCATTTGTTTCGTTTCTACCAAAGGCAAAAAAAAATCACCGAAAGATGTTCAGTGTATGTTTATATGAATGAATGAATGAATGAATATCGAGCTACATGAATGGATGGCAGCCACAGGTGAATATTTATATGTCCACTTTTATATACATTCAACAAGTGTGTTGGTAAGATTCGACCAGAACAACAAAATCTGCTGCTGCTGCTGCTGTGATCGTTGTTGTTGTTGTTGATCAAAAAAAAAAAAAAAAAAAAAGAATCTAGCGAGAGTTTTTTTTCTCTTTCTTCAAGAAAAAAAAAGACAAGAGAAAATTCCAAAAGAAGAAGAAGAAGGAGAAACACCTGTTTCCACCTGTATGTGTCTTGAGATTGAAAAAAAATAGAGAAAGAGAAATAGAGAGAGAAAGATGGAGAGAGCGAGATAAAGGTGGATTCATCATCACAACATCCAAAAGCAGCAACAGCAGCAGACAGATTCGAATGTTCTGTCTGTTCTGTTTGGTTTGGTTTGTTTGGTTTGTTTCAAATTTTTTTTTTTTTTGATTTTGATAACAAATCTGAAATTTTTTTTTTTTATTTCTCAAATGATGAAATTTCCGTATAATTTTCTTCAATTTCTGATCTGATTTTCCATCGATCGATCTACCTCTGAATCGTTTTTTTTTTTTTTGACTTCCGAAAAAAATTTCTTCTCATGGGAAATGTGTATTTTTCAACAACAAAAAAAAAAAACAAAACAACAACATGATGACATTTAATCTTTGAAAAATGTGAAAAAATTCATCAGTTCGATCAATCAATCAATCAATCAATCAATCAAATCAATCATTCAACGAAAAAAATTTCCAGTAAACAAAACAAAACAAAAAAGAAGTTCCTAACAAATCAACTACTACTAGTGCATTCATCACTATCAACTACCGGTAATTTTGAATAATCCTGAAAAAAAAAAAAAAATATGGTCGATCATCACCATCAGCATTTGAATAATCAACAAAATGATTGCCGTTATTTGATTGTCGTACACGTTGTTACAGCCGGACAACAAGATGATGATCTTGGTAGCGATGAAGAAGAGATTGTACTGTTTGCATGGTTGGTCATCGATACCACCATATTGAAGGTTTGTTTGTTTTCTTTATTTTTTGTTGTTGTTGTTGCTGCTGCTGCTCATTTTTGTTGTATGACTCAATAAGTCACAATTTTTTTTGTTGTTATTTCAATTTATGGATAATTATTGCTGCAACAACATCATTTCAAAATATGAAAAATTTACCAAATAATTGCGCCTGTTTGTTCACCGGAAACAAACGTTTATTTGAATGTGATGTTTGACTGTTGTCAAACATATACACCAACACATAGATGCTGTCGCATAGATTAGTTTCAAAGTTTCGTCATCTCATATTGGCAGCAGTTTTTTTTCCAGGTCAGGTTTATTATAGTAAAAAAAAAACTGATTCGAGGTCAATATGATAATTTGACACATTTTGCACACACACACACGCACACGCGCACACACACATACTGAAAATGAGATAGATTTGCAGATCAATATTAATGATGATGATGATCATCATGATAATAACCGAACAAATTCAAAAAATTTTTTTTTCCATATTCACATTCCATTTAGGTACTTGAAAAACGTTTTGAATATGTACGGCCTAAAAATAAAGATATCAATGATAATATTTTATCGGAAGCTGCACGTGATTCATATGGTATTAGTGAAGAAAAAATTAAATACGCATCTACATTGGAAAATGTTATCCATCAGGTTTGTTTTTTGTTTTTTGTTTTTAATTTGCAAATTATCCTTACACATATATACCATAATGAAGATGGATCAATACATAAATACTCATTTGATTGGTGATAAATTGAATAATCAACAACCGCAGCTTCGGCCATCACCGCCTTCATCAACAACACAATGTCCAAAACATTCGGATAATTATTTTGAAAATACCGACACAGATACATGTTGTTCATCATCATCATCGACATCGACATCGACATCAACAACACCGCCTACAAACGATGATTATGATGATGATGATGATGAAATGAACAATAATAATAATAATAATCAAACGGATTATCCAAATAAAGAACGAATAATGATGATGACCAATGGTCATTATGTAAACAACAACAGTAATAGTAATGATCAACAACAACAACAACAACATTATAATGGTATACAATTGATAACCGATGGACAATTACATCTAAGACAAGTATTACATCCTGAAGCTGTAAAAAAATCAATAGATTTACCGGAAATATTTTTATCAATTTTTTGATTTACGAAAAGAATTTCGTAAATTTTATCGTAATAATGATATGAAAACATTGGATGATATGATTGATTATTTATCATTTAAAAATAATGATTCAACGACATCGACAGTGACAGCGACAACAACCACAATGACCACAATGACAACAATGACCACCAACAGTAATGCATCATTAACGGCTTCCACATCATCACCACCATCACCATCATCAACAACAACAACAACAACAATGAATCAGCAACAACCACAACAAGAGATTAATGAATTAGAATTGGTACAAATGAAATTATCCAATATGGTAACCATTATTAATCGATTACTCATCGATGGTAAGTTTTTTTTTCCAATAGATTCGTTCATCATCATTTTATTATTATTTGAATGTCCAGTTTTTCTCAGAGCGAGAGTGAGAAAGAAAGAATGTACCTAAAGTTTTGCTTTCCCAGATAATTTTCGTATTACACCCAGGTCTAATCTATAGCTAGATTTTCTTTTTTTTTTACATGATTATCCGTTGTCTGTTCGTTGTCAATGGATTTGATCATTACAATCTATTTGCAAACGATTTGGACAACTATTTTCGATGAAGATGATGATGATTTTTACCTGATTGATTTCCTGTTTTTTTATGTGTTGTGATCATCATCATCAAAAAAAAAATATCATTCACAATGATGTTCGGCCTATCTGTACATTGATTGATTGATTATTATTGAAGTTTTTTTTTCATTTCAACAAAACAATAGGAAGTGAAAAATAAAAATCAACGACACTTTTTATGATTATTCAATTGATTATCATCATCATCTGATGATGATGATAATTTCAACTATTTCAACATCAATTGATTTTGAATAAAAATGTTCATTTTTTGAACATCGATCGTCATCGTCTAATCTATAATAATTAGTCAGCAGATGACTTTTATCAATATGGAAATATTTTTTTTTCTGTCTATTTTTTCAAATTTTTTTGAAAGTGAACGTGAGATGATTATCGTCATCATTAACACAAGAATAGGGATAATGGTAATCCATCTCAATCTCTATACGAAGGTCAAACTATGATGAAGAAACAACATAACCAGAACAACAAACATTTCGTTCGTACATCGAACCCTTTTTTTTCTCCTTACCGGCATCATCATTATCATAATCATTATTATTGTCATTGTCGTCGTCTTAATCGTCATCGTCATCTTCAAACAGGCAGACAGATTCATCATCATAATAATCGTCCATAGATAGAGAGAGATAGATAATGATGATTTTTGTTCGTTTGTATAGCAAAAAAATGTACAATTTTCGTATTTTTTTTTTCTTTAATTCTTTTAGAAATAAAGAATAATAGACGACGACGACGACGACGACAGAATAATGATGATGATGATGGGGTAATAGCTTAGTTGTTTTTTGTTTGTTTGTTTGAAAGAAAAATTTTTTCTTCTTCTCCACCAAACTTGAATAATGGAATGTTTGTATTCATTCCGGTTTATTCAATCGGCCAATAGGCTATATTGAATGGATGGACACCTTGACCCTTCAATTATATTCTGATTCAAATAGATTATCTACCAATGATGATGATGATGACGATGATCGATTGAATAATGATCGATGATTATTTGTTTGTTCGTTTGTTTGTTTGTTTGTTGTGTTTGACAGGTATTAATGCCCTTATATAAATAGTAATGGTCGATTTTGAAGGTCGTTGATTTTTTTTTTTTTTTCCGATCATTATTATTGTTTATTGTTTCGAAATTTAAAATTGGTTTCCATTTTGAAACCAAAAAAAATCACCATCATCATCGAACAATTGATCATTATTTTTTTGCTCTTGTTGTTGTTGTTGTTGTCAAACTATTGTTTACACATGTTTGTGGCGCATATACAACAAAATGATAAAATGTGATTCGTTATGGATTGATAATAATAATTTTAATGTTCGACTATTTGTCTTTAGGACATCGATTTGATGAGCTACAAATTATCAATGATAAATTAGAACCAGGAATATGGTAAGTGAATCTGATTTTTCATTGTATTTTAAATGCTCCATTTCCATCGTATCGTTTGTGTGTGTGTGTGTGTGTCTAATCCATTATTCATTCATTGATTGTTTTGTTTTGTTTTGTTTTTTGTTCCAATTGTTCATTGTTATTGTTTTCATAGTAGTAAAAATGAATTGGTCGATAATAATACAGTGGTACGTGCACGTGGACTACCATGGCAATCATCAGATAAGGATATTGCAAATTTTTTCAAAGGATTAAATATTATCAAGTATGTGTGTTTCTAATATCGATATCGATATCTAATAACATTAATGATGATCTTTATAGAGGTGGTGTTGCATTATGTCTAAGTGTACAAGGAAGAAGAAATGGTGAAGCATTAATACGATTCGTTAATCAAGAACATCGTGATATGGCACTAAAAAGACATAAACATCATATTGGACAACGTTATATTGAAGTGTATCGTGCATCCGGTGATGATTTTCTTAATGTTGCAGGTGGTATGTGTTTGATCAGATTTTGAATTTATTAATCATCGATTTTTTTCTGTTTAAAAATCTCAACATTAAGGCAATAATAATGAAGCACAAGCATTCCTATCGAAAGGTGGCCAAGCAATAATTCGTATGCGTGGCTTACCATATGATTGTACAGCTCAACAAGTGGTAAGTTTCATATCGTTTTTTTTCCTGTTGTTGTACATGACATATAGATAAAATTGAATTACATTTATATAGATTGATTTTTTCGCTTCAAATGGTCATAAATGTGATGTAATGAATGGTGATGAAGGTGTATTATTTGTACGAAAACCGGATGGCCGTCCAACTGGTGATGCATTTGTTTTATTTGAAACAGAAGATATTGCTGTACGTTCATTACAGAAACATCGAGAATTAATTGGTTCACGATATATTGAATTATTTCGTTCAACAACGGCCGAAGTTCAACAGGTATGTGCTTGTGTGTGTGTGTGCATGTGTGCTTCATCATCATTACCATTGTGTTAATCTTTGATCCTAATCCACGATCAACAACATGTTTCTATAGATTTCCTTCTTTTTCTTTCCCACAAAATCATTCAACATGGCTTTTTGAGTGTGTGTGTGGACAGTAGAAAATGATGATTGAAATCTTTTCATTTTTATATATTTAAAAGAAATTATCCATTACAGACATGGAACTAACTTTTCATTTCATTTTTTCTAAAACATGATGATGATCTATCGAAAACTTATGATTATCATGATGATGATGGTGATGATTATGTCAATTGATGATGATAAAGCTAAAGAGAGAGAGAAAGAATGAGAAAATTAAAGTAGATTCTTTTTCTGGTTTCCTGGAATAGTGCTAATGGTGATGATGATGATGACCCTGAGAATTTTCATTAAATTTTTTTTGATTCTTTTTTTTACAATTAGGTTTTCAATAGAAATATGGAGGCAAGAATCTATGCCGATTTAAATGGTTTAATAAATTGTCATAATCATAATCATCATCATCATCAACATCAACATCAACATCATCATCAGCAGCAGCATCAACAACAACAACAATTACAAGTCAATACACAACAACAACAACAGTCATTATTACCAGCTCTGGTCACGCAATCACTATTACAACAACAGCAGCAGCAACAACAACAACAACAATCACAAAATTCACATCCACATCAACTTCAACATCATCTTCATCATCATCATAATCATCCATTACAGCAACAACAAAATCGTAAAGATTGTATTAAATTACGTGGTCTACCATATGAAGCACAAGTAGAACAGATATTAGAATTTCTTGGTGAACATTCAAAAAATATTGTCTTTCAAGGTGTACATATGGTTTATAATGCACAGGTATACCTATCTATCTATCCCATTGATGATGGATTTAAATTTGAATTTTAAATTTATTTTGTTTGTAATCTAATCTAATTTAGGGCCAACCATCAGGTGAAGCATTCATACAGATGGATTCGGAACAATCAGCATTATTGGCAGCACAAAATCGTCATCATCGTTATATGATTTTTGGTAAAAAACAACGTTATATTGAAGTATTTCAATGTTCCGTAGAAGATATGAATCTAACAAGTGGTGGTTTTAATCTACAAAGACAATCATTATTATCATCAGGTTTGAATTTTGAAATTGATGATGATGATTGAAATGAATGAACTAATTATGTTCTTTATTTTTAGCTACACCATTATTGCCACCACCACCACCACCATTTGGAGCATTTTCATTTGGTCATCCGGTCACATTAACAGCGGCAGCGGCTGCTGCAGCTGCTGCAGCCGCCGCCGCCGCTTCAAATAATGTTCAACATCCAGTTTTATCATTAAATGGTACATCTACGATACAACCACATACAGCGGTACAGGCAGCTGCTGCTGCGGCAGCAGCCGCATCTCGTTTACAATCAACATCAACAACATCATCATCATCTTATGGTCAACATACTAATCCATTTAATCTGGTTTATTGGCCATATCCATCACCACCGGTATCACCTACAGCTATGCAGCTGCATTTGCTAGTAATAATCTTAATCATCATAATCATAATAATCATCATCATCATCATCATCAACAACCGACACCGGCCATGGTCAATATGCGTGGTCTACGATAAATTATCAATAAATGATAATTAGATTTGATCATCATCTTTTATTTTATTTTATTTTTTTATATATCAATGTGATCGAATGGATCAATTGCAATGAAAATTCAAATTTATTTAATACACGTATATCCTCCTGTGTGTGTGTGTGTGCGTTTGTTTGTGTACGTGCAATAGTATAATTTTAAGAGAAAAAAAAATTTTCAATATAGATCGATAAAATCGAAATAATAATAAAAAAATTTAAAATAAATCAATCGATCTATATATAAACATTAAATTTGTAATTGTGAATTTTGATTTTTTTGCTGTTTTTCTTTCAAATTTTGTTGTTGTGTGTGATATAATCAAATTTTTTTTTGTCTTTTAAAAAAATTGATGATTCGCTAATTACATTGCCGTTAATTGCAATATATGTAAATTCAAATCACAATCACAATCGAAATTAACATGACAATCACATAATTTCAAAAAAACTTTGAAAATTAAAATAAATTTAAATAAAAAAAAATTTAAATTTTCAACCACCATTTATATACCTGTATTATAAAACAGGAAATTGCTCAATATTCGAACATACATACAGATTTTTTTTGAAAAGAAAATTGTGATGACGTCCAATTCAACATACATATACCTACATGAGTGAAAATAACCACCCTGTTGTTTTATCACGTGATTTTTGTTGTTATTATTTTCTTGATCAAAAAATTGTCCTCGAAAACAAAAAACAAAAAAAAAATCAATCAATGAAAATATTATATTAATTTATGTATGACGAGAAAAAAAAATTCATTTCTTCACCATCATTATATTCTGTGATCGTTACAAAATATAAAATTTTTCAGAGAATTTCCTGGCAAAAAAACAACAACAACATTTGATGGTACAATCTAAAAATAAAATTTTATCGATTAAAATGTGTACCAATAAATGGTTACACAAAATGTGAAATTCGATCGAACGAACATCTATTCTGCCTTATATATGTGTGTTTGTGCGTGTGTGTGTGTGTGGTCCAATTTCTTTTTCATTCATTGCTCATTTCTTTTGTTTTTTTTTCTATTTTCTTTTCATATGGTAAGAATTTTGTGTAATTTTTTTTGCTTGATGATTCATTGATGATTCATTCTTTGATTATCTTGATAGGATTCTAGTTAAATAGTGATGTCTGGACGTCGTGAATCCAGTACGATTGGCGGTAGCAGTGGTCATGGCCATGGCCATGGCCAAAGTAGCAGTGGTGGTGGTGGTGGTGGAAATTATAATCGTTATAATAATCAATTTCATCATCATCATAATCGAACAGAAAGAAATTTTCATACAAATTCTTCATCGACACCAATAAAATCTTTTTATTCAAATGGGATTCAAATTGGCCATAATAATAATGATTATGATGATCGTGGTTTTCGTCGAAGACAAATTATTTCTAATGAACAACAACAACAACGTAATAATGGTGTTGATGCTAATAATGATGATGATGATGAAGATGACCTAGATGAAATGAATTTATCGAATGGTTTCAATATTAATAATAAGAATAAGAATCGAAATTTTTCACATGGAAAACATCCATTTCATTTTCAGAATCCAAATAATCAATCACAACAACAACAAACAACGGCAACAATGCCGATACAATGTCAAAATGAGTTGCAAAATTTTCACAACATAATACGTCCATTTATGAATCTAACGGAGAAAAAATCGTGGCCAAACACGTTCAAAGATTTAACCAATTTTTACCTATCATCCAGATCTATGCGTATGAATGGTCAATTCATGGATCGTATATTCAATGAATCATTACGAGCGTTTGAAAAAATATTCAAAGAAAAATTGTATAAAAATACTGTCGAAGAAATGGTCACTTGTATGGCCACATTATTCGATTCCGTATCGGAACCATTGCAATCAAATCTATTGGATTGGATATTTAATAAGATTTATTTTCAACAATCAACAAGTGAAGAAAATAAATTGATAATATTACGTTGTCTGTCATCGATAATTATTGATTGTCAATCAATGGCCACCAATATTGATAATTATTTTTTCATCCAAACAAAATTGAAAAAAGCATTGGAAACAACAACAGCGAATAATAATATTGAAATATTTTTACAAATCTTTCAATTGATCATTACTATTGGAAAACGTTCACCAAATTCATTAAGACGTCATATTGAAGATCTGATGGACATACTTTTAGGCTGGTATATGGATGGTACACAAACAATAATGACATTATATTTGATTGAAAATATAATATTGTCATTTGATTTCAAACAAAATCTACAATTTTTTCACATGCTATTACGATCATTTATTGAAGATATTGAAAAATATTATCAAGAATCATTGTATAATTTGATAAAACCGAATCAGCATCATCAACAACATGCACAAACATCATCGCAATTGTTGATGATGAAATCAAATGAAACGATTGATAATAATCAACAATTGCATACAATAGCATTACGTATACGTTTATTTGCCATATTTTATCGTAAAATTTTGATTGAACATCCAAATTCCATGATGGTTAATAATTTACAACAAAATTCCCGATTCTGTATCGATTCTATGGCCATTATGATTAAAACGATAATTAATTTATGGCCATTTTATAAATCATTATCAATGTCTGAAGAATTATTGATTGAATGTAATCAATCGTTAATCATATTGATGGAAACATCAACCACCATATTCAAATCAAATGTATGTATTCAATCATTGGAAAATGAACTACATGATTATTGTCAATTATTATTCAATGTCATTGATGATAATGATAATGAAATTTTTCATTATTCATCACCAAAAACGATAATAACGGCAATGGATTTTTTGAAATTATTCATAAAAAATTCAAAACAATCTATATCGTTGGAAATTGTCGACAGGTTTTTCAATGTAAAATTTCAATCATTAAAATTTTCATTGAATAAAAAAGTACTGGAATCATTCATATCGCTATTCTATTGTCTGTTGAAGATTAAAAGTGTTGAAATTATTGACAAATCATATCGTCATATTCTATCACAGATACGAATTGCATTTGATTTTCTACACAAAATAAAACGTAAATATAATAATAAACAGAATGGAAATGTCGAAAAAAATGATTCATCACCAGTAATTGTAAAGAATTTTGATGATTCAATTCCACAACAACAACAACAACAACAACAAGAAAATTCTGGTTATATGTCAATCATAACTAATGAACAAACATGTCTGATTTCATTATATGTTGATATAATATTATTGGCCGAAATTGCCAATACAAAACATTCGTTGATTGCAATGTTGGCATTGTCACCGAATTTTATTGAACTAATGTTGTATCATTTAAATCTGGCCAATGAATGGTTTGCTGATGAATATTCTTCAATTCATTATTCATTGCTATATTTGTTTTGTTCATATTGTCAAAAACATCATAATTTTCTGCCACAAAGTTCATTATTTCTAGCAAGCAGCAGCAGCAGTAGTAATAGTAATAATAATCAACAATCGTTATCGTGTAATTCAATATTTCCATTATTCAATATTGGCTCAAAATCATCATCATCATCATCATCATCATCGATGACCACTGTCCAATCAAATTTAATGAGCAATAGCCACAATCCATCATCATTACGTTTTTCACCAAATTCACATGCAAGCAATTATTTTGTGGACATATTGAAGAATTTAAAATCAATTTTATCATTGAATAAATTGAAAATTGATTCAATCATCATTTGTTTACGTTTGGTGGAAAATATTGTCACATATTATGGTGGTGGAACATCCAATCAATCAAAACAAGCATCCATTGTCATTGCTTTGGATGAATTTATTGTATTGATTGAAATTGTATCGGAATATAGTTTCGCCAATAATTATCCAATATGTAAATTAACCTGTTCAATCATCATGAATTTATTGCCATTAATCGATGATCAATCATTGCCAATGTATTGGCAAACAATGCAAATTTATCGTCGTGCATGTGAATTCAATATTGCACATACAGATAAACAGATTAGTGAATTATATGTCAATCTATTATCATCATTGCCGATTTGTTCGATGACAAAAAAATCATCATCAAATAGACGTTCAACAACGATGATGAAAACAATTCAACAAGCATATAGTGTACAGAATAAAATTTTTATACATCCAGAAGAATCACATCTCACTATTGTATGTGTGATGAATAAAACACCATCTGAACATTTTTCATCATTGGCATTTGAAAAATTTTTCGATTTCATTCAAAATGGCCATGACGATGATGATTCATTACAATGGCTATTTCGTACATTGTATGCATCTATTGATGATGAACGAATGAAAATACCGAATCAGATACGATCAACACTTGGTTATTTGCCATTCATATCATCGAATAATAATTTGGATCTAATGAAAATGTTTCAATATAATTATTGGACAGCTATATTTTGGATTTGTTTTGAATTTGTTCAACATTGTATTGAGAATCGATTGAAAACACCGTTAGGAAAACCACAGGATACATTCACAAAGATTGAATCGTTAATCAAAATGTTTGTGGCTGATATTTCATCAAATTCAAATGTAAATCGATTGGCTGTTAATGTTTCGTGTGTTTCGGCTAATGTTGCCGCTACTAAACCAAATACAATTCGAATTCATATGTTATTGATGATTATGGATAATTTTGATAAATTAATCTACAATGCCATACACGGAAATTCATTACGGCTTTATGTTTCATCAAAATTATCGAAACAATTTTTCAAAAAAAATCGTGCCACCTGTTCAGAATGGTTGAATCGTAATCGTCGATCATTGATGGTATTAGCATCGAAAGTTGGACAATTAACTATTGTTGTTCATCATGGACAAGAATTATTGCGTAATTATCAATGTGATCGTACATTATTCACATTGGATGAAATTGAATTTATTTTATTGCTAATGATTGATTCATTGATACAAATGAAAGCATCGGAAACAATACGTGGTTATTATAATTGGGTTAAACAATATCTAGGTGTAAAATTTGTATGGATCAAAGCAGCTACGGATGAAGCTAATGGCCGTTATGAACGTGCATTGATTCAATATCGAAATTTATTACAAAATAAAGTTATGGCCAATAATAATAATGGAATCAATCAACAACCACAACAATCTTTAATCACTACCGCTACCAATACCAATACCACCAGCACCACCACCAGCAACAAAAACAATCCGAATACATTGAATTTGATTAGTTCAAGCAAAAATTTCATCTGCAATAGTTATACGGTTAATTTTTTTCGTAAAAGAATTTTAAATTGTTTGCTTAATATTGAAAATTATGATGATGCATTGGAATGGTGGCAAATTGCTAATCGTGAATCGAATAAAACCAATGTCCATCAAATGGCATGTAATTTGTTTGGTTCAACAAATATTGATTATTCATATCTAAAATCTTTATCCACATTTGCTGATGATGATCATGACGAAAACATGACGAAACCGACATTGACCAACAATAATAATCTAGCGTCATCTATCGATCATCCACTGCCGTTGATACAACGATCAATGTTTTTCGATATTGAATCCAGTTATCATCAAATTCAATCAAAATTGTTTGAATTAGCAAATCAATTTTTCAATCGATCATCCACTGATACAAATTCAAAACAACAATTTATCGAACAACTTGATGATCTAATTGTGCAACGAATCAATCCATTGATACGTTCATTCAATATGTGTGGTATGGTAGTGGAAAATCATTTTGCAATGTTGCAAAAAATATCACATCAATTACGTGCCATTATTCAACCAACATCAACGACAACAACTGTGGACAAAATTCGTTTCGATCTATTTGAATGGGAAGATATGAATTTAGATCAATTAATCAATGGTCTATCATGGTATCGAGTGTATGCTAAATTGAATGAAAAAACCAATCATATTGAACCTGTACGTATGAAACATTCATTGAATCGATTATTATTGAAAACGGCACGTAAAGCAAGAAAAACACAAAACATTGAATTGGCTGAAAAATTATTGTTTCAATTTGCACAAGCAACAACATTGAACGTCGATACAATTCCTGATAATACTGATCGATTAATTTCTGTTGTTCAGAATTCATTGAATAACGCATCATCATCATCATCAATGTTGAATCAGAATTTATTGGATTTTTGTTATGAAACATCTGAATATTTACATGATAAACAGGAATCGAAAATGGCTGTCGATGTTTTATTGAAAAGTGTTAATGTTTTACTTGAAACCAAACAATGGTCATCAGCAGCCATGGATGGAAATAATAATAACAAAACAATGGCTGAATGTACATCGCGTATGTTTCTAAAATTGGTTCATTATATTCAATCAGAATCATATGAATGTTGTCGTGAACAATTTATAACACTGGATGGGAATCCAAAATTGCTTGAAATTGATGAAAAAATTTCCTGTATTCAAAATCTAAATCATTTTGATAATATTAGTGGTAAATTATTATTAATGGCTGTCAATAATTGTCCATCAATGTCAAAAGCATGGTATCAATTGGGTGATTGGTGTTATCGATGGGGCCGACGTCTTAGTGATATAGATATTGATGTTGGTGAACAACAACAGCAGCGACAACAGTTGCCATCAATGGTCAGTGAAGACATTGAAAAAGATACCAATGGACGTGAAGCCAATATTATTGAATTTTATAAATTGGCTGCAAATTCTTATATTCGATTTTTACATATTAATGGCCATAATAGTTGTGATGATATTGATGCTACGCTCCGGTTACTTCGTTTAATATTGAAACATGCACCAGAATTACGGGAAATTTTGGAAATCGGTCTGAAAGAAACACCAACAAAACCGTGGAAAAATATAACATTACAACTGTTTTCACGTTTAAATCATCATGAACCATATGTACGACAAAGTATTAGTGAATTATTATGTCGTATTGGTTCCGATTCACCACATTTGATCATTTTTCCAGCCATTACCGGACTGTTGGATGATCAGATTAAATCGAAAAATTTTGATTATACATCAGCTAAAAATAAAAACGATGACGATGATGCCAACGATAATGATAATGACGACGACGACGACGACGATGATGATGATGATGATGTTGATTCAATCGATATTGATCAATCATTGGTTCGTAATTGTTATAAATCATTATTGGATACATTAAGTCAACGTGATACAAATCTGATTGTGCAGACAAAATTATTTGTACACGAATTACGGCGAATAACTGTATTATGGGATGAATTATGGATCGGTATCATGCAACATAGTATGAATGAAATGAAAAAACAAGTAGTGGCATTGGAAAAAGAGATTGAAAAGACTAGAAATAATACGAATCTTTATGAAAAAGAGAAAATTTTGTTCATAAAAGAACAGCATAACATTTTTTTCCGTCGTCTACTTTATTCATTACAATTAACGAATATGTTAACATCATCGGATAATCCGGAAACACCGCATGAAGAATGGTTTCAAAAAAATTTCAATCAATTAATACAACAACTGATTGAATCGATTGCTTGTCCAGAAAATTATTATGAACCATCAAATATTTTGTTTAATTATCAAAATCTTTTTCAAACAATACGTAAACGATCATTGGCGGCAAATAATTACCGATTCTATATGCAAGATATTAGTCCACGTTTAGCTACGCTCGAAAATACCGTTATACCATTGCCAGGATTGAATGGTTCAAATGTAATGTTGAAAGGTGTATTCAAAACTGTTTCCGTATTGCATACGTATACGAAACCGAAAAAAATCATTTTAATCGGTTCAGATGGCCGTAATTATTCATATCTTTTTAAAGGCCATGAAGATTTACATCTTGATGAACGTATTATGCAATTTTTATCAATAGTTAATCAAATGATTAGTAAATTTGGACCAACAATCAATCAACAGAATAATAATTCAAATATTAATTATGATCGAATGTTTATCCGAGCTCGGAATTATTCAGTAACACCATTGGGCAATAAATCCGGTCTGATTCAATGGGTTGAAGGTGGTCATGCATTGTATAATCTTTATAAACGTTGGCTTTCAAATCGTGATATATCATTGGATGAGATCAATAAACGTGTATCAGCGAATGAAATATTCAAAATGAAATTGGCTGAACATGGAATAACGACAGAAAATCGTAACGATTGGAATATGAACATATTGCATAAAGTGTTTGATGAATTATCCAATGAAACACCTGATGATCTTATTGTACGTGAATTATGGTGTTCATCGGTGAATTCATTTGATCATTGGAATTTGCAACAGAATTTTATCACATCCAATGCAATTATGTCGGTTATTGGCTACATCCTTGGTCTTGGTGATAGACATTTGGATAATATCCTGTTGGATTTGACCACTGGCGAAGTGATTCATATTGATTATAATATCTGTTTTGAAAAGGGTAAAACATTACGTGTACCAGAAATGGTGTTATGTCGTTTGACACAAAATATTGTCAACACATTCGGTGTGACCGGTGTGGATGGTAAATTTCGTATTGCATGTGAAAATGTATTGAAAATATTGCGTAAAGGCAAAGAAACATTATTAACATTGTTGGAAGCATTTGTTTATGATCCATTGATTGATTGGACACCGGAACATGAAGAAGGATTCACTGGAGCCATTTATGGTGGTGCAAAAATTGCACAATTAGCCAGTGAAGGTAAAATTATACCGAAAAAACAAATGGAAAAAGAAAATCAAGATGCAATTGAACGTTTAAAACAATTGATGAAATCTGTTGAACAACGTAATAGTGATTGGCCTAAAATTGTTAATACTGATAATGAACCACCACCACGACCGCAACATCAACATCAACAACAAGATTTACGAATATTGGCTAAACCATCGGGTAATAATAATGATAATGAAGGAAATCAACAACAGCATCAGCAACAAATGTTGGAAACACGTAGACATAATAAACGTAATGTTTATGCATTTTCTGTATGGAAACGTATCCGTATGAAATTAGATGGCCGTGATCCAGATCCAAACAGACGATTATCCATCTATGATCAGGTTAATCATTTGATTAAAGAATCAACATCGATGGAAAATCTTTCACGTATGTATGAAGGATGGACTAGGTAAGTTTTGATTATTTTTTCTTCTTTAATTTCTAATTCTTTAATCATTTTTTCTTTAGCTGGGTTTGATTGAATTCTTCCGTTTGTCGTCGATATGTGTGTGACATGATCAACACTGTGTACTACTAAATAGTAAGGCTTCAAATAGTCTTGTTCACATATGGTACACATTCAAATTACCGCCGTTCGTTTTGGATGGATCGAAATTTGTCGAAAAAGAAGAGAGCCGTCCATTTGATATGGTGGTCGAAAATGAAATCGAAAGAAACGAAATTTGGTGGAAATTCAATTTTGGATGTTTTTTGAATTCGATTCATTATGCAACGAAAAAAAAACGATGATGATTATCCCAGATATATAGAATAATAATTTCAACATTTATACACGTCATATTACTACTTTTATTTTCACTTTAAAATTTCTTTTCTTGTTTTTCTGTCTCTCTTCTCTTTTTAAAAATTTTCAAACACAAATCAGAAACTAAAAAAAATGAATGAAGGAATGAATTAAAATTTCGGTTAATAAAAAAAAATTTCACATTTTACCTTGTAACAAAGTTGACAACCAACCAACCAAGCAAACAAACCACGATTTGAACATGTGAGATAAACATCGATAAATGATTGATTCATTTTCTTCATCCTTGATGTTAATACCTGAATATCGGGAAAAAAGGGATAAAGAACCCGATAATAATGGATGGATGGATGGATGGATCGATTGATCGATACACTAATGATGATTGTCACCTAAATTTTTATTTTTTCATTGACCAAAAAAAAGAGGTGTGTCATTCATTCATTTATTCAATGATGATGTTCAATATGCCGAATTCGATATACCATATAAATGATGATGGTTGTTCTTTGTATTGTAGTTTTTTTTTCTTCATCCAACAATAATCATCATTTTGATCGGTAACCCATTATTCATTTTGATCAATGATTTTCCAACACTATTTCCAACAACAACAACAGTGAAAAGTAGTGGCCTTGTGCCATATTTCTCTGTGTGTATGAGTGTATTGTTGACACACCTTTCTTATTGAACGAAAAAAACGAAATGAAACCCACTTGTATATGCTATAGTGAACTTTGAACCCTGTGTGTGTGTGTGTGTTTTTAACCCACTGTTTAACACAAACACAGTGACTATACCATCACATTGGGTAATGGCCCTATTATGTCGTTGTTTTTTCTGTTTTTCTCATTTTTCCATTTTTTTTTTTTTTTTTTTTGATAATAATGGTGGTATTTTCTCAACAACCACACACAACAATTTCAGATTCACTTTTTAACGTTAAATTTGATAAACGATAATCCCTCCAATCTGATAACCAATTGAGATGTGTGTGATGTGGTTCTCTCTCTCTCTCTCTCTCAGCTTTTCATTCATAACTTTTTGACTTTTCATCCAAAACACACAATCAGCATAACCGACGACAACAACAACAACAACAAACAACAAATACGACAACAACAACCATTTACAACAACAATTTGATCTTCTTCCATTTAAAAGAGAAAATAGAAAATCCAACCCAAAAAGAAAAAAAAATGATAGATAATTGTCGATAATGATGATAATTTTGAATTGAATTGATTGAAAAAAAACCAGGATGAAATCGGAAATCAAAAAAAATGAATGAATGAATAAATGAATGAATCCCGAAACATCCTGTGATCAATTGTCATCATCCTGTGATCATTGTCGATTTTATGCATCATCAATTTCAATTGCATTTGTATGATGGACAAGTGACAAATCAGTTGGTTCAAATGATCTAAATTTTAAAATTTTTTCATTTCTTCTGTTTCTTTCATAGATATATATATATATATATTTGTCACACATCGTCATTCATACACTTTTTTGAATGACATTATGACATTTGCACACCTTCATGTCCTGCATCATAGCCCTTTTTTTTGCTGGCTGATTTCTGGAACAAACTTGATCATAACCTCGGATATATGATGATGATGACGATGATGATGGATGCATTGATGAGGCATATCGGTTTTGTTTTGTTTGACATTTTCTTGATTTTTTTTCCTGAAAATTTTCTTTTTTTTTGACAACTTTTTTTTCGGCCAAAAAAAATTTCTTCTTCGAAGAAATAAATACCCGATCTTTCTCGCTCACACGCACACATACACCATATAGCATGTGACATGTATTGAAAAAAAAAATGAAACCAAAACCGATTGCCCGATCTGCCCGCTGTGTGTGTGTGTGAGTTGGTTATAAGTCACAAATTTTTTTTTCTTTTTTTTTATAAGAAAGTTTTCATTCGAGTAACATTTTGACAAGTCCTTGGCCTAGCTTTTTTTTCTGTTTCTGTAGTAGTGGGGTAGTTTCATTCATTCATTCATTCAATGATTGGCGGTGACATCCATTTCGAATGAACAATTTTTGTTAGTTCGTCACACATTCATTTTTATTCACAAAAAAAAATTATACCGACCCTTTGGCCCCTGGTGTGTGTGTGTGTTCGATTATCACACGCATTTATTCATTTTTATAATGAAATAAAAAAAAAATCAAAAATTCAAACTCTTCCTGCTGCTGCTGCTGTTGATGATGTTTGTGTGTTGGCCCAAATTTTTTTTGGAGAATTTTTCTTTTTTCCTAGAAAATAAAATGTTTGCATTTCGTTTGAAATTTTTTTTTTTATTACTTTAATATAACCCGTTTTTTCTGTTTTTTGTTTGTTTCAATTTTTGGTGTTTTTTGGTGTGTCGGTGTTCCAAATTTTTTTATTTATTTCATTTCCAAGAATTCCAATTTGGCCTAAATTTTTATTTCCATTCATTCATCGTTGTTTTTGTTCAGGTTAAGATTCAGATGATTTTTTTTTTGGTTTTGGTTCGTTTTCAATATGATCTTCATGAATTGACCATGAATGAACAACAACAGATGAATCCCAATGAATTCAGGAATTAATGCCGTTTTTTGTTGCAAGATTCGTATTCAAGAATCTTCTTTAATCATCATCATCATCGATTTCATCAGATTTTCGATATTTTTGGATTTTTTTCGTACTTGCAATTCAGCAACATAAACAGAAGAAGAAGAAGAATGTCAACGATGAGAATTCTTGAAAGAATCAGCAACGACGATTTCAACTACGACGACGACGATGATGGTGACAATCAAGAATTTTTTTTTTGAACGAAGCCATTTCCATTGATATCTAAATATCAAGAAGAAAAAAAAACAATTAAATCAGCAAACAACAACAATAAAAAAAACAAATCAAATTACATTTACCTGATGTTCATGTATCAAGATTATCAAAAAGAAAAACAACCACACAACAACAACAACAACAACAACAAAGTCAATGAACGTTTCAGAATGCTTGTATTTCCATTACATCAAAAATAAGAGAAAGAAAGAGAAAATTATCAAGATTGACAATCACAAAAAATTCAAATTCTTGGCAAATGTAAATCTTTCTTGTTGTCGTTGTTTACTGGTTGATCTTCATCGTTGTCTGTGTCTGTTTCTGTCGTTAAAACATGACGATATCATCATCAACAGGATTTGTCTGGTTAGATTTATGGCTTTATTTATGAGAATGGAGACAATCTACAAAAAAAATTGAAAGAATGAAAACAAAAAACTTATTACAATGTAGTTACTTAAAATAATATATACATACATACGATTAGGATTCAAAACGTTTCGTTTTCGTCGTCTGTTGTTTCATGTTATTTTTTGTTGTTGTTGTTGTTGTAGATGTTAAATACTTGGGTGTCAAGAATAATAATAAATTCTTGTCATTTCATTTCATTTCACTTTACTTTATTTTATTTTACAGGGAAAAAAGTAAAATTTCTTTTTGAAAAATTGATTTCTTCATTTATGCTTCGGTGTGCAACAAAGGGGATAACAAACACAAGAAACGATGGATAATCAAAAGAGTTAAAACAAGTGTGACATTTAGTAGAAGACGATGATGATGACGACGACGATGACGATGATGAGAGATTCCGGCAGAATTTTAGGAAATTTTTTTTTTTTGAAATTTGATAGATCTGAATTTTTTTTTCAATTTTGCTGTGCCTATAACACGACAACAACAACAACAACAGTCACCACCACCACAACAGAATTCAAAAATTTTTTTTTGATCAAAAAAAAACTGAACAAAAGTTCAATCGATGTGTGTGTGTGTGCATGTGTCTGCGTTTTTTTTTTTTTTTTTGATATCTCAACGATCAAACTAGATTTTGGTTTGGTTGGTTCCAAACTTTTTCTTTCATTTCATTTTTTTTTCTAATAGTAAACCGTTTCAACTCTTCAACTATGGTTGGTTGGTTGGTTGTGTGTGTGTGTGTGTCTAGTATGGATGCTGTATAATAATAGTCAAAAGTTTAGCTTTTTTTTTTTTACTAACTCTTTTCTAACCAAACCAACAAAGAAACTTTGGTTCCAGCAACAACAACAAGGCCCCTGTATGTGTGGTGTGTGTACCGAATAGCCGCCATTTACATTTATTATTTGATGCTACAACTAATTTCTCTCTCTCTTTTTCAATCTATTATGCGCCCAGTTTTTTTTCGGTTTCATTATGATGATGATGATGATGATGGAAAATGAATCGAGAGTTGCCATCTTTGTTTTGTTGGCTTTCATCTTTATATGCTGCTTCTTGTTGGATGTTTTCTCCTTTTTTTTCTATCGCATACACACATATTCATTCATTCCTAAATAATCAACCCATTCACTCTGATCATTGATGATGATGAGTTTTTTTTTTGGTCAAAAAATTTTTCCTCGCCCCTTTCTCTATATTTCTGTTACACTATTCAAGTACAATGCCACCACCACCATCAAAAAAAAACTTTAAACATGATGTTCCATGCAAAAAAATTTTTTGCTCATTTTTATTTTCATTTTGTGAACAAAAAAAAATTTTAAAAATTTAAAAATTAAAAACCTGATTAAATTCGTCCATCATTTTTGTTTTTGTTGTTGTTGTCATCATCATCACCACCTCATCACCACCAATTATGAATTGATAAAAAAAGATTCGAATTGTGACCACTGCTGCCACCACCGCCAAGAAAAATCGAATAAATACGCCCCACATAAACATAAACGTTTGGTTTGTTTAAATCAAATTTGAAAAAAAAAACAAAACAAAAAAAAAACCAAAATAAATCTCATAATAATGGGTCTCATCATCATCATCATCATGATCATGATACAATGATTTACTCTGTGTGTGTGTGTCTGTGTCTGGGTGCAAAAAGACAAATGACATGTTCAACATGCTCAATTTAATCTCGATGATGATGATGATGATGATTTGTGTTTATCATCATTATCACCCTTTTAACACGGCGTTTTGGCGTTATAGAATAATGTGTATTCATTCAGATTTCATCATCATCATCATCAGTCAAATAGTAAGTATGAGATTTTGTTGTTGAAATGATGGAAAATTTTTTTCTTTTTTTTGAATCTTCGAAAACGATCATCATCATCATCGGTCGTTTTTTTCTTCAATCAATTAGATCAAACCATGAAAAAAAACTTCAAAATTCATTTTTTCTTGTCCTTGACATCATTTTTTTCTTGTCTTCATTTGACACATCAACTCTTTTCTTTCTTTCGAACCATTAATCGAACGGACGAATCGATCTATCGAACGACCAAAAAAAAACATCTCACCGAACATTTTTTTCCCATACAAATTTTTCACACGTAATAGCACACATCGTCCTTGGAACATAACTTTCTTTTCTTTATCTTTGCAAACCTTCTGTTCCTTTTTTTTGAATGTCATTTCCTAGCCTTTAGCCTTTCAATATCATCATCATCATCAAAAGGTAGGTGATTTTTTTTTCTCAATCTATTCATTCATTTTCATGTTAATAATAATAATAATAATAAATGATTTGTTTGTCAAATCCAATTGATTCAAATTCAACAACAACAACAACAACAACGACAGAAAAAATTTTAGTTTCAACGCCAGATTGAATGAAACCGAAAATGAGGGCCTAGCCTAAGAAATGTGAAAAGAGTTTTTTTCATTTCATTCATAATAATAGGTACCCAACCTTAGTTTTTTGAAGAAATGAAATTCAAATGATGATGATGATGATGATGATGGAACGTTTGGATGTAAAGAGGTAGGCGATTAAAAAAAAACTTGCGCGATCGTGAAATCAATGAATGAATGAATGAATGAAAGTAAAGGTGAGGCCAGCTCGTGATAGCTTGCGTAATGTTTGATTTTTCTTGAAAATGTTCTCACTGATTGTTTTTGTTCGAGAAAAAAAAAAATACCCGGTGGTTCAAATATGCCAGGGTTTTCTCCATTTATATATCAGTAATCCATTTTCTGATCCATTTACATTTTTCCAATTGATCATGATGACCAATGACAATTGTCATCCATCCATCCATCCATCCATTTACTTTTTCAAAGAAAAAATTTTTCCACTTAACCCCGAACACATCAATACAGGTGATGGAAAGTGTTTGCGTCCAAAGATTATTATCAACAATGATTGGTATATACAAACCTGATATTAACAACAATGAAAAACGAAAACCACAAAAATTTAAATTGTTTTTTTTGTGGTTTTTTTTTCGTTCGTTTGTTCCAATTTCACTTTTTGTTTTGTTTGTTTTTGTTTGTTTTTTTCAACCATTTAAATAGCAACAACAAATGTGAATAAACAAACAAACAAACAAACATTTTGGGTGATTTGGATAAATCGATTAGATTAGAAAAGATTAATTTTTTGATTTTTTTTGGATTTTTTTCGGTGTGGAACTTATAGGGACCACTGTCTTTTTTTTCAGTGGGCAATAATAGCTCAATTCGATTGACCAAAATAAATCTGGGCGGGTTTACGACGCTATATATAAAAAAAAAATTGGCTGTGTACAACATTTGACTACTTGACCATTGGTCATAGCATTGTGTATGAGTAGTCGATTTGCCCTATTGTGTGTATGTATAGTGGTTGTTGTGTGGTAGTAAAATTTTTTCTGATTTTCTAATGATGATGGTTCAAATTATTTGAATTTGATTTTTTTTTTGTTCAAATTAATAAAATTCAATACTGATGATGATAATCAATAAAGTGGTGGCGACCTCCAGTGTTCATGTTAGTGACAATTTTGTATTTGAATTCATTCAAAATTTTAATTTCAATCGATAGATGTCGGGGCCAACATCGACTTGGATATATATGGAAAGAAGGAAATGGATGTGTGACCCCTCTCGGTTTCCAAAATGCACATTTTTTTTACCATTGACATTGACCCCAACTTTGTCTCTCTCTCTCTCTGTGTGTGTGTAATGGTGATGGGATGTTCCAAACAAACAAAAACCTAAAACACCAGAAAAAAATCCAAGGTCATTTACATCCTATAGTAGTAGTTGGTTTACCCGCAAAAAAAAACATGGTGTTCCATACGTACACTGTAGTTGTAGCAGAGAGAAACATAGATATTAGGCACACACCCGGCATTATCTCACTACTGTGTGTGATACATGGACCTGAGTCATTTCAAAAAAAAAAAAAAAATTTTTTTGCCACGGTCTCTGGCCTATCGATCGATACCAGAAAAATGCATACATGCATGCATGCCTTTTGTGTGTTTTTTTCATTGCGCATTTCCCAACAATAGAGTAGGTTGGACAAATTTCTGGTTATTTTTTTGTGTGCACTGTGTGTGTTTGGATCATGGGAACCATTGTGGCTGTTTTTTTTGTTTTGCTTTTACCCATTACCCAAAAAAAACATGCACCATAAAACACAAGTGTGTGTGTGTGTGTGTGTGTGTACAGCCCATCTAGATCTAAAAAGATTCAATGATTGGCCCACTGTTTTTGGGTGATGATCGAACCAAAACGTACGTAGGAGGAGGTTTGGCTTGTTAACATTTTTTTTCTTTCTTTCTTCATTCAACTTTGTTGTGTTGTTTGTTCCAATCAGAAATTTTTTTTTTTTTTTTTTTTCATTTTTTTCTTGTTGTTAGAGATTTCTTTTACTCTTTTTTTTGTTGGTTCTCCATAGCAATAGTGTTTGGTGTGGCAAAACTTGGTGGTTCTTCATCAAGAATTATTTTTATTGCTCCTGAATCATCATCATCATCAAGAACATCAAGTTCATGATTGTCACATTTTGTCATATATACAAATATACAATGGTAAGTGGTATATTTGGTTTTTGCCAATCAATCAATTGATTTATTGAATCAAGATTGATTGATTGATTGATTGCTTTTTAAAGATAATGTTTTCATCAATATATCGGTGTATATATCTTAATTCTGTGATAATAATCTAATCTTTGTTTGTTTACACCTAAAAACAACACTATTTTAACACTATGGGTGTTTGTTTGTTGTTTTTGTTGTTGCTAAACATCGAATCGTCGTCGATCGAATATTATTTATGACATATATAAAAAATTTAACCTTCAAATATATCGATCGATAAACTTTGATTGAAACGATTGATATATATGGATTCGTTTGTTCGATCGATTGATCATCATTATTATTGATGGTGATGATTGTGTGATTTAAAAATGTTTCTATAAATCATATATATATCAATGTAATAATAATCATATTAATGTTTTTTGTTTTTTTTCTACTTTTTTAATTACTTATTTTTTTCGATGGTCGAATTGTTCATTATCATCATCATCATCATCATCATCATCATCATCATCAAAAACAACAGTAGTAGTAGCATCGTTAATGATAGCTGGTAATCACTATGATAGCCAACAGCACTACTACTAC